CGTGAAGCCTTCCCTTTCGGCCAATACAAGTTCGATATCCTGGTTCACACACACACTCTCGTGATCCTCTGACCACAAGAACTCACGGTCCACTGACCAACGCAACTCATGGTCCACTGACCACCTCGCTTGTGGCTTCAATCTTTAGCCACTTCATACCCTTCTGTGTAGTAGTCTCATGCTCGGACCCGAATACTTCGGCTTGCACCCCCGCTGGGGCACCTGCACCATACAGCAAGTGCACACATTAGTAATTAATCTTGCAACTCGACACCTCCTGCCCCTCAAGACAAGGTTCACTCGGCCCACGTGGCCTTACACAACACCATTTCATGGTGTAAGCCCCTTTTCGCATCTCGGTCTCACTACGGTTCCTTCCACCGTAAAGGCATCACATGCCACAACATATGCCAACACCTTTTTCTAGGTGAGGCTAGACTCTGGTGCCCTTTTGCTAGGCGTCCAAGCGTCTACTCGAGAGCCATTTTACATAGGCCCAATATTTCTCGCAGCACGCATTGTTGGCTCTTTCCCGAGCCTTCATAGGCACAAAACCCGCATCTGTGTCTCGATAGCTCCGTTTGAGCTTGGCACCACCGCAATTTCGCATCACTAGACCCACACATGGGGTCGCGTAACTCTCGCCACTGAGCCAACCTAGGCTCTGATACCAAGTGTCACGGTCCGCGCGTTCCTCCTACTGAAACCACGCGTCCGTGCGGCACCAAGACTAATCCTAGTCAAGGTCAGCCTTCTATCGTGTCCATTTTTCCAAGGACGGACCAATTCCAGTCCTACAAACCGCATGCCCATGAGCCCTTTCTGGCCTTGACCCCGTAGGGTCGCTCATTCCGAACTCTATGGGGAGGAACCCACTCCCATCGTACATCGGTCCACAATCCTCAACTTAGCCCCCGAGCACCCAGCTCTACCCGCAGGGCCTTGGGATCTTGAGCCTCGATCCTCGAATGCTCATAGGGATGCACAGTCCCTGTTCTCATGGCCTTGAAGCCTCTTGACATGGTGAGAACCCAACACCATGCCCGCCCCCGTCATACGCAAGCTCCTATATTGAGTTTATGCAAGCACCCCACTTAAGCTGGTCGACAGCCAGCTAGGAGCCTCTAGGCTCATTTCATCCCACGAGACTCGGTTCTTAGGGCTTAAGCCCTTAGCATCAGTATCGGCCGCCCGCACGCATGATTAACACCCCACATCATGCTAGTCCCGCAAGAGGACTTGGGTGTACTGCCCCAGCAGTAGTACACCAGCCCGACTGGCCATAAGGGTCTAGCAGCGTGCCTACCTGCTAGCCCGCACATCCCTCTGGCTCGATGGCATCCCTCCTACGCAACACCATCACATGATCCTTCCGGCTCGAGGAAGGGAAATCGAGGGGCCTAGCGATCTCTACCGCCAAACCCCATGGCTCAACGCAAAGGCGCGATACGAGGCCCACCGGTCCCAACTGTCCCCGGGTTTACCTTACCCGAGGAAACATCGTGCCACGCTCATGACCCTACGATGCCCGCCCACCTAGACACCACGAGTGCCTAGGAGTAGCTCACTTCAGACTAGCCAGGCCCCCGCCTGCCCGCTAGCCAAGGGGGTGGTGGACGAGCTGACACCAGATCATCCACCTTATAAGAGCGTTAAGAGATTTTCTCCAATATGCTACCAGTGACCGTAAGAATGTCGGAAACTGGGACCACTTTTGCTGTCCAGCCATCCTAGGGCCTTTTCTCCGGCTAACTCAGGGCCCGTAACCTTCCTCTTGCGTCACCATTGCTCCCTTGGATTCTGCTTAATTACTACCCAACCAACCCACGTGCGAAGGTGCCCGGTACATGGGCTTCTACTGCTTGGCACCCGCCAAGCTACTTGGCTTTGAGGGTGTCCTACCACTGTCCCGACCTTCCCCGCATATCTCGCGGCCCGGAGCTCCCATTGCCCCCACAACATGTTAACATCTTGTTCCAAAGCTCGAAATACACGCCTACATCTCGTAGAACCACTTTTCCGCCAGCTCGATCTCGACCGCTGCTTGATTCAGAATCAGTCATGGCAGGACCAAGGCCTGGCCATGACACTGAGTCAAAGCCCACAAGAAAAAAGCATCATCGTTATAGTTAGTGCCAGGATACGTTATTTTCAGTCATTTTCCAATCCGCACTGCAATTTTTAACAAGACTTACTATTCCTTTTTGGTCATTATATTCATTCATCTTTATCTTTATAGTAACATTAAATCAAAAGGTGTTTAAGAAAAGCTACTTTTCAACTGCCAATGATTAGTAAAATGGCATCTATCTGTCTAATATATATTTATCTTGTATCAGCCAAAACAGTAGTAATAGATCCTGGCCTGGCAGGCGACGGCCCTTTGTTTCCTGATTTCGACCATTTCTAGTGAAGCAAAATTACCAGAGTCAATCCAGGATACAGAGCCTGTCCGAGCATCCCTAGTAGCCTGTCATTCTCAGTACAGGGGAAAAGTTTGTCAAAGGTTAGCTGAAAAAGATATCAGTTTTGCTCAATCGAATAAATTTTTTTTTGATAAAAAAATTTTAAAATTGAGTTTAATGATCATTTATTTGAATCATTTTAAATATATAAATTATAATTATTTATTTTAAATTATCAGATATAATATATTTTATTTTGATACTGAATAATTTATTCACTGTTATATTTTTTTATCAAAATAAAAACCGAAAAGGATAGTGAATTAATGATTGAAAATTTTATGAAAACATAAATATAAACTTCGAGGCTTGGGTTCACCTATTTAGTTGCTTTACATTAGCAGTTGATTGTAAACGTGTGTCTAATGATCATGAATCGCGTTATTGGGAAAAAATTCGTAAAATTTTTTATTAAGATGAATCATAAGATACTTTTAATTCATATATCAGGGTTACAATCTGCATGAACAATATGAGTAATCATATCTGAGCATTTTTCAACCAAAAATTAAACTTTAAAGTCAAATAAACTTGTAAAATATGCTAGATGCATATATTTAAAATTTAAAATATGTATGTATTAACTACTATTTTTTTACTTCTCCTAATTAATTATAATTCATTTAATCAATTAAATGCTATAATTAAAAATTAGATAATGACATATTTACACAATTCAATAAACCAATTGTCTATACCAATTATTGAGAAATTAGATTAAAATTACCAATATCAAGCTATCATCTCCAAAATGATGTCCGTCCGATCTGAAAAACACTGCTATATTTTCTTCGTGGTTATGCCACATGTTTCGAAACTCACCGGCCAATCTATAAGATAATATCTAATCTTATCTATATATTATAGATCTTAATTAATTAAGTTCAAAATTAATTTAATAATTTTAATTTAATATAATATTTACAAAATATTATTTGAATTTTATAAAATAAAATATTTTAAATTAAAATATTAAATAATATTTTATTAATATAATATATATAATATAAAAATAAATAAATAATATATATCTCGATGAAATCGAGATGATATTTCTTAAAATTTAATTCTGATTAAAACTTGACTTAAAAAAAATTTTAAACGTTTGATTTTAAAAATATTATCTTATTAAATCAAAATAAATCAAAATCTGATAAATAAAAATTATCTTATTTTTTATTTATGATCATATTTGATGTATAAAATTATAATAAGATAAGATAAAATAATATTGTCCAAAAAATTTTAGTTTAGTGGTTAAAGATGTTTAATGAGACATCAATGACTTGGTTTCGAACTAAATTTCTCATTTTCTCCTTATTTGTATTAAGATTTTATCTTTTTGATATAACAAAAAAAAAGATGAAATTATATTTAATAATGTTATTTTATTTTATATTTGATATATGTAATTATTAAAATAAAATAATTTATTTATTTATCAAAATTATTTTTTTAAAAAGTTTATAAAATTTAAATTATTGGTATAATTTTTAAGGATGTAATTAAATTTATAATTTTAATTTTATAAATTAAAAATAATTCTTTTTACTTGAAAAAGATTAAATAATCTTTACCAAAAAATATTATTTTTTATAATTTTTTTTATTTTTAAATATAAATTAAATATAATATAAAATAATTATTATCTTATTTTATTAATAATTTTATGTTTCAAACATAATTTAAGAGTATAATATTATCGATCAAAATCCATCCAGTACGTCTGTATATGAGTGTGCAATATTGCCAGAATTTGCCACTTCTTCAGAGCACCCCACGTCAATCTGACGTTAATAAAACTTTCATTTTGGGTGATCCAAAATTTAAAATCCCATGTAATGGTAATTTTACCGCAACATTAAGCAATTATGACGATAATCCAAGCCCATAAGCGTCATTTCATAGTTCAACCGTTTCACACTACGGCATTTCTGAAATTCTATCGTTAGACCATGGGCAGGATCGGGATTAAGAAGATAAACAATGGCAACAAGTGGACGGAAATTCGCAACGCCTATAAATGCGAGCCGAAGAATCTTCTCCCTATCTCCCAATCAGCCGGTTACCAAATCAAACTCAAAGCAAGTAGCCTTTGCCCCCTCCCGACCCTCCTCTCTTTCTTACAACACATATATTTTTAGTTTTTTTGGTTTTATTTGCAGGAGAAGAAATAGTGAAGATAAAGCTATTCAGAAAAAAAAAAAAAAAAAAGCGAGAAAAAAAGAAAGCATCGAAATCGGTGAAAAAATAAAAATCATAACGTCTTTCATAATCCTCCTCTGTTTTTTTTTCTCTCCCTATAAAAAATTCGATGACTTTGAAATCAGCTTCTTCAGGTAACCGACTTTCTTCTGTTGGAAAAGAGTTTTCACTGAATTTCAAGCTGCTGTTAATCCAGATACCGACCTTTTACCCATTCTGATTCTGATTTATTTCTTTTTTTTTTCTGTTTTATTGAAAAATCTTTCTTTTTTTTTGTTGACTTTCACTTTTTCACGGGTAATTCAATTCTCTTTTCTATTTTCTTTTGTTAATTTTTGTTCGTTTTCTCTTTCGAATTTTCAAGTTTTGGAGCAGGATATGAAGCTGAATTTTGTTTTTGTAATATGTTTACCTAATAATTTGTTTTTACATTTCAACTTCTTTAATTTTCCTCTTACTTTTGTTTCGGATTTCAATTTCATTTTCTTTGTGATTTTTTTTTTGAGTTTTGATTCTCTATTCTCTACTTCCTGGAGGAAAATTTAACTTTCCTGGAAACTTCTTGATGGTTGACTACTTTGACTTCCGTCAAAGAAAATGAAAGCTTCGCCAAGTCCTAATGATCGTCTTCCTTTTTCGGATTACTGGTGATCAAGAAAAAACGATCCTTTGCTTTTTTTTTTTTCCTATTTCTTTTCCTCCCTTTTGTCTTTCTTTGTTTTTCAATAGCAGTCTTTCTATTACATGAACTACTTTCTTTTTCTTGCATTTATTGATAGCTTGATACCAAAGAAAAATTCCGTTTTGCTTCTGTTTTGCAGCAGAGAAAGAGAGAGCAAAAACTTAAATTTGTAACTTTTTTTTTTTAATTTTTTGGAGAACAAGGTAGTACTTTGCTTTGTCTATGCTTTCAAATTAGTTTTTTTTTTTTTTTCTCTTTTCTCTACATAACAGTTAAATATGATAATTTCGCGTCATTTCCTTATCTTGTTTTTGGAATTCAGTTTCAGTAACGATGTTAAAAAAGATGGAAATTCTGGACGTTGATAAAGTGATAGAAGAGTTCGAAGCGATGACCAAAGACGCTGAGAATGTTCAAAGAGAGACGTTAAAGAAGATTCTAGAAGAAAATGGATGCTCTGAGTATTTGCAGAATCTCGGTCTCAATGGCAGAACCGACCCTGAAAGCTTCAAGGCTTGTGTTCCTCTCGTCACTCACAAGGACTTGGAGCCTTATATTCAAAGAATTGCTGATGGTGCTTCTTCCTCGATTCTCACCGGTAAACCAATAACCACCATATCTCTCAGGTACTTTTTACCTTTTTTAACTTTTATTTTGTTTGCTGTCGTTTGATTTTTCAATATTGAGAGCTGATTTGTTTTGCAATTTGCAGCTCTGGTACTACTCAAGGAAAGCCCAAGTTTGTGCCTTTCAATGACGAATTGATGGAAACTACTTTGCAGATATACCGTACATCTTATGCTTTTAGAAACAGGTATTCAATTGAACATACTTGTATTATTTTTCCGTTTACCTTCTTTTTTTTTTTTTTTTCAAAGTTTTTAATGCTCTATGGCTGTTTTCTTCTTGTCCACACATTTATTTTCAACTTTTATTTTTGTTGAAATAAATGTAGTTGGATATGCCCACTTAACAATTTTCTTTGAGCTGTTTCCTTGTTATTAATCAGTTTGTATTATTGATATACAGAGAATTCCCTATTGAGAATGGGAAGGCCTTGCAGTTCATTTACAGTAGCAAGCAGAGTGAAACCAAAGGCGGTTTGATTGCCGGAACTGCAACTACCAATGTCTTTCGCAATTCGCAGTTTAAAAATGCGATGATAGCAATGCAATCTCAGTGTTGCAGCCCTGATGAGGTGATATTTGGTCCTGATTTCCACCAATCTTTGTACTGCCATCTTTTATGTGGGCTGATTTTCCGTGAGGAAATTCAGTTGGTTTCCTCTACCTTTGCCCATGGCATTGTTCATGCGTTTCGAACTTTTGAACAAGTTTGGGAAGAGCTTTGTGCTGATATAAGAGAAGGGGTCCTCACAAGCCGGATCTCTTTCCCTTCTTACCGATCAGCAATGGCCAAATTGCTGAAGCCAAATCCTGAGTTGGCTGATTTGATTCATAAGAAATGTTCAGAATTGAGTAATTGGTATGGATTGATACCGGAGCTTTTTCCTAATGTAAAGTACATGTATGGGATCATGACTGGTTCCATGGAGCCTTATCTGAAAAAGTTAAGGCATTATGCAAGAGATTTGCCTCTTATAAGTGCTGATTATGGTTCTTCAGAGGGGTGGATTGGGGCAAATATCAATCCAACTCTGCCTCCTGAGTCGGCTACTTATGCTGTGCTTCCTAATATTGGGTATTTTGAATTCATTCCTCTGAAAGAGAATGCTGAGGAGCATGTGGAAGTCAAAGTTAACGATTCTTTCCTCTCTATGGAGCCCAAGCCAGTGGGTCTGACTGAAGTTAAGGTTGGTGAAGAGTATGAGATTATTATCACCAGTTTTGCAGGTACTATTTTTGTTTTCTTATGAATCAGAACTTTTTTCTGCATTTCCTACAATTACTTTAGCAGATTGTGGAAATTTCGCATCCAATCTGTAATCTCCATTTCAACTCCAGGTCTCTCAACCACGTTCAAATGAATATTCAAGTGAACATTGCACGTTGCAGTGTCGGCAACTTCTATTTGTTTATTTGTTTATAAAATGACCCAACCATGACATAAATGCTCTTCATGTGGGTGTAGCTATGTAGGAGCTAGGGAGAGCAAGCTATTTCTTGAGCAACTCTTGCTTCTTTGCATAGTTTTTGGTTTCCTTAGCCGAATTCATTTGATTTGCTGCATTGTCCTGAATAAAATTCTTTAATTCAGACATATCAGACCCAATTGGTTAAGACAAAGGCACACCCTATTCTTATAATCAAGAAAGAAATATACCAAACAGTCAAAGGCTTTCTTAATTTGCTTATTTGTTGTGGCATTTTTATATATGCTTCTGTACATTTAATGTTACTTTTGTTTGGCATAAAATTAGGAAACAGAGGTTCTCTTACCAAGAAGGCCTCCATGTGTTCTCTGCCATATATCTCGTTGCTCTAAACTTGAAACTTCTGCATTAAGAATCTGGCAACTTTTGTTTCCTAGCTGCAGAGATAATCTTCTTAGAGGAGACATGTGTGATGCATCATATCTGTTTTTTATTTATATAATTACTTGTAGCTAATTTTTTAAAATAAGGTAGTATTTTAGATTACTTGTTATCATTGGTTCTCCATCATATTTACATGCTTTCTAATCAGGACCTTGAAGGTTTTGCTGATGAAGTTTTTCTTAATATACTTTTTCCATACGTTTACCCTATCTGAAATCATGTAAGTATATCAGAAAGTTTTCAGGGTAATCTAATGAGTTAGTTGCTACCTTGTCCTCAAGAAGAAAGAGTAGGCTAGAGGAAAGCTGTTTCAGACTGAGCCATAAATGATGTAGGGGAAGAGGTCAATGGTTTCTTAGCTATACCGAAGCCTTTGAGAAATTAAGGATAAACTAATTTACAAAATAATGTACTGTGAAAAGGAATGGATGGGCTTTTTGGTCAATGGTCTGTGTTAAAGAAATACTATAGATATTTTAATGTTCACATTTTTTTAAAATTGACACTGATAATTTTTTTTTTTTGGATAAGTGGGAAGGGGGATGGAAAAGTTTAGGATCATGGAAAACAAAACTGCCTAGGTTAGGAAATGATTAAAATGAACACGCCCATCTCGCATAAATATAATATATTTAAAGATGTTTGGTGGGAACTTCTTGTATTTTAGCATTGGAAACCGAATCCTGATCAGCAAGTAGTTGCAATTGAGAATTTCTGTTCTGCATTTTGACCGTCTGCCTTTTTCTTTATCCTTCCTAACATTGCATTAGCCATGCTTCTCTGTATTTATGTTTATACGTTCATGCATACTAATTATTGATCGAGTTGAAACATTGCCATGTTAGTGTAATTTGTTGGTTGTCCTTTTTTTTTAGTTAGAAATATCATAGCAAACATTCACACCTATTTACCCTTTCAAAATAATTCAATTCTTTAATACCCTTTCAACTGTAAATGGCAGGTTTGTATAGGTATAGGCTAGGGGATGTGGTCAAGGTTACGGGCTTCCATAACTCAAGCCCGGAACTGAAATTTGTCTGCAGAAGAAATCTCATACTCACCATAAACATCGACAAAAACACTGAGAAAGATTTACAGCTTGCTGTGGAACAAGCAGCCAAGTTAAATGCTGAGGAAAAGCTGGAAGTGCTTGATTTCTCTAGTCATGTGGACTTATCGACAGACCCCGGTCACTATGTGATCTTTTGGGAAATTAATGGGGAAGTAGGCGATGAGGTCCTGAAAGAATGCTGCAATTGTTTGGATCGTTCTTTTGTGGATGCAGGCTATGTTAGTTCCCGCAAGGTAAATGCCATTGGTCCGCTTGAGCTCCGAGTTGTTCGGAGAGGAACTTTCCAGAAGATTCTTGATCATTACCTAGGATTAGGAGCTGCTCTTAGTCAGTTTAAAACACCGCGATGTGTAGGGCCTACAAACAATAAAGTGTTGCAAATCTTGTGTGAAAATGTTACCAAGAGCTACTTCAGTACCGCTTTCTAGTTGTAGTTAAATATGGGAGAAAAGTAAATTTCTCACCATTTGTTATATAATAAATTAAAGGTGTTTTACTGGCTTAATCATCTAGTTGAATGCAAAATCATTGCATTTATACCTTAGAAAGTTGCCTTTGTACCGGTTAGTATTCGACATGTCATTGTAGCTAGGCCTTAAAGATTGGAATTTGACACCTTTTCATTTTGGGTCTAAATCGGAGGCGCCATCATAAACACCACGCACTGACCCCTCCGGTATAAATTCAAAGTAGAGAGGAGCCCAATCTTGACGAATTTGAAAAAGTTTATAAATAAAAAAAATTCAAATTATAAAAAAAAAAGAAGTTTGGTGTTAAGTCCACCGGATGTCCGTGCATTGTCAGAAAAGGCGGGCCATTTGACTTCTTCGGCTGGGAGGTTGGTATGGCCCATTTTTCCACCAACAAAACTATCCCTCTTCCTTCCCGACAAATGACGAGGCCAATACGACGCGAATGTTCCGTAGTAGGTAAACTATAGCTTAAGATATTACTTGAATTCCATTTTGTTCAATGGACGTGATGATGTAGGAACGCTTGAAAGTGGATCGACCTCTCTGAAAGGAAACACATAACAAAAAAGAAAATCCAACCCCAAACTGGTCAAGGATGAGCTCGATTCCACAAAATCTAAGTAGGCTGTCGTGATGTGAATAATTGTCTACAAATGATTAATCTTATTATTATATTATAATAAATCACAGTGTAAACACCTTGGTAGCATTCGTTTGTCAATTCAGATAACTTTTTTTCCATTGTGATTATGTTCAAATCCAGTTCTTATAAAAGGTTTCCATCTTCATAAATGAAAATGAAAAATGGGAAGAAACTTTCTTTAAAGAGAGATCTGCCTCTTCTAGTCTTCGTCACCGGTTCAGTACCTGGTTGTTTTGTAGGAGATATCATGTCTTTCTTTGGTTTTTAGTGATTTCGGAAAAATAATCAACTATACATTTATACTATAAATTTAAACCAGAAATGTGCGTTAGACCTTAGTCCTTCACCACCGACAATATTTCAAGAATAGGACAGTAGTAGACTACCAGTATTTATTGCCATTCTTCACTGTTTCGTTCATGTTTCCCTGTAGTTGCTGATACTTCTATTCATCCAATGACAAATGAACTTTGAAAAGTACATAATTATTATTTGGAGAAGATAAACATTGCTGGGTGGATAAGAACGCGACATAAAAATTCTCTTTTCGAGAGATGTTGACCAGTACCATTATCTTCTTCAATATATATTTTTTTGTTAGAGATAACAGATCTTGTTTTTGTACATCTAATATAAGATCCCCTTGATTTATATTCTATAATCCAAGAATTATTTTTTCATTCATATTTTTGTTAATGTTTTCATTTCCAATAAAATTGAAAAAAAAATCTTATTGGTATAATTCATGGTTTGACCTTACATATATTATATAAGAGCACAAATTCTGAGAAGAACCAAAGTTTTAGATTGGATATTTGATAATTAGTAAAATTATTAATTATGATAAAAGCCCACTGTTTGTAGTTGCATAGGATGTTGGGTTAGGGTATTCGAATACGTTCCGCAGTTAGGATTTACAAAGGCTCAGTGAGAAGTTTGACTGACACAGATTCGTTTTAGTTTGTTTACTTTTGACAGTAAAAGTAAAAGTAAAAGGTCTTCTGTTCGTAAACGATTTTTGGATAAGTCTCGCCAAAACGAATGTATAAATTGCAAAGCCTAAACGAGTGAATAAAAAAGTTTCTTTACCAAACAAAGAATACATAAATTCCAGGTCTAACTTCAAACAACATAATCAAAACCTTTTTGCCTTTATTTTACATTTTTCCTTCAAAAGTTGGGAATTTCATATTCATTTTTAATCTATATATGAGTGTGATCTAATATCAAATCAGCTACCATATATAGGGACCTGTCAATGGGGATTGAACTGTTGCTTCGAAAACAAATAAGGAGATAATTAAATCCCAATAAATATTGTGGAATAGCAGGGGTGAAGAAAATCCCATGTTTCACCAAAATTTTTTGGTTAAAAGCATTGCTTTATATGGTTTGTTTTTTTTAATGCATACTGAGTCAGATGCTATTGTTCTAACAGCTTAACGTTAAAACCCAAGTTTTTTGGTGAGCGGATAAGTCATTTTCTTCACCGAACTTGGGACAACTATTTCCCTTTTTTTTTCTTCCTTTTTCCTCTGTTTTTATACAATTAAGGGTCACCTATTAAGTGTATTTTTAGAAGACAATAATTGTTCCAAATATTAACAAATTAAGATTTCAAATCACTCATCAGTGATAATTAAGGGGAAAAAACGCAGTATTCACATTTCCCACATTGCAAAAAGAAAATGAATACCCCAGCAAACTAGGACAGGCCAGCTGAAATTTAAAATTCATGGCTAGATGGAATCTCTCTATTTGGATATAATACATTGGGAAATTTGTTTGTCAATCTGCATTCCAAAACTCTTCATAAACCAATCTGATAAACCCCACAAGTTTTTAGAACTCAAATAAAAAAATTGTCTGAAACCAAAGAAAAAAATGAAGATGCAGCAACATTTGCTATATGGGATTGTGGCAGCTCCTTATATGATTCATATGAATTGGCATCACTCGGTCATCTAATCGAGCGCCATCTAGTGAAACTGCCTTCTCTAGGCGGCTCAAGGAGGTTGACCACCAGATTGTATTATCCGTCTGATATCACCCCTGCCACCATTGCAGATTCTACAAGCAATGCCAGAGCCAAGGAATCTTCTTCTCTAATTAGTAGCTTGGAAGAATTTTCGGGGAGTAAGTCTTGGAAGAGGAGAAAGTTTGGACAAAGGAGGGACAAGCTTAAGAAGTTACGAACAGGAATCTGTTGCTTTTGCAAGAAGTAGAAATACAAAAGAATATAACAGATTAACAGGTAACCCAACGTCTGGGAAATTATGTTTCTTGTTCATTGCTGTTTTTCTTAATTCTTGGTTTTCAATAATGTATCTCAACTGTACATCTCATATGGAGTTCTTTTCCATATTCAGAATTATACTCCTATATTTACTTATAATATAAAACATGAAGTTTTCTTCATACTGTTATATCAAACATGAGTCTTTAGACTGATATTTCAGATTTGACATCCCAACGCAACAATACGCTTGCCTCCATTTCCTATCTTGATAACGTGCAGGAACTGTTCTATGTTGAAAAACAATGGGTTTTTGATTATCTCGTTGGAAGTGTTGGAGATTTGAGAATCTGGGTGAGGATTCGCTCTTCATTTCCTGTCCCACTGGGGGATGAGCTGACACTCAGCCTATTGATTATAAAATAATAGCCCATAATGCCAAAATTGTGAGCACCAGTCATCCGACTTACACATGTCCGATGCATTTTGTGTTGCGCCATGGAAACAAAACAAAATTTATTTCATCCTTTATCATATAAACGTGAAGTTTTCTTCATACTGTTATATCAAACATGAGTCTTTAGACTGATATTTCAGATTTGACATCCCAACGCAACAGTACGCTTGCCTCCATTTCCTATCTTGATAACATGCAGGAGCTGTTCTATGTTGAAAAACAATGGGTTTTTGATTATCTCATTGGAAGTGATTTCTCGTGTTGGAGATTAGAGAATCTGGGTGAGGATTCGCTCTTCATTTCCTGTCCCACTGGGGGATGAGCTGACACTCAGCCTATTGATTATAAAATCATAACCCATAATGCCAAATTTGTGAGCACCAGGCATCCGACTTACACATGTCCGATGCATTTTGAGTTGGGCCATGGAAACGAAACAGAATTTATTTCATCCTTTTTTTTTCCTTTTTGTTTGGATTATTTAAATCATTGGTTGCAATAAGCCCACGACAACTGGAACAACAAAAAAATCTTGTTATTTTCTCGTTTTCCTTTTTAATAAGTTTCGGATGACAATTTCTTTAGACAAATTGAGAGTTGAGACAGTGTATTTCCAATGTGGATGGCACCCAATGCACAAACTCAATGTGGATGTCAAGTCAACTATTTCCAACTTGGAAGTGTTTCTGACGTCATGAAGTTGGAGACTACGGACCTTGTTGGCTTAAGACCGAGCAAAGTTGGTTCTGGTGTAGCTTTGTAGGCGTCTAGCTCAATCCTATGACAAAATTAAAACCTGGAAATTCTAGGTTAGAGCCAAAGCTAATTCTTGATTGGGGGCTGACAGCAGTGAGGCTCCGTTCTTCTCAATTCCAGTAACAAGAATAAAATCGGCCATCATTTATATGTCAAAGTGGAGTCAGGTAGCCAAAACCAAAGTGTCAATAAAAAATAATGTATGAATCTGGTCAACGATATAATCATGTAGGCACTAATATTTTACGCAGAACTCACTAGTGAATGGATTGTTTTGCATGACGTTGAAATATGTACGTATTTGTGTACGTTAATCACTTAATTTCTGATTTCCCTCACCCAAAAACCTGCTTTGGGTCAGAAAAAGATTTAACAGGCTGGTTGTACAGTACCCCAGTCTTTCATAAATACCCAAGGCTTATCATGACAGTCTACGAGTTAACGATTTCAACTTAAAATCATTTTCAATTGCTTCCATATTGGGCCTGGTGATCCAAGTGTCACTTTAAAGTTTCTGGCCATGGGGCTCTCAAGCCTGGTTTGGGCCCTGCAATGCAGCAGTAACGGTGTAGCAGTTCTGTTCAAGGAATTCAGTTTAGGGTTAGTCAAATGAAACATTGAGTTGAATCAATTTTGGGACCATCTTCCCTTATTCCCTTCCAAATAGAACATGTCCATTTAGTCAATTAGTCCTTAAAGAATCTGCCAGCCAGCTATGAGGAAACTTTTTATTTGAGCTGCAATTTGATGAGCTTATCTTTTTCATGGCCTCCTAATTTTGGAGGGAATCACACCCTTCTTTCATTTATTTCTGTTGATCCTGCACCTCAAAGCCTTCTCTGTCATGACCCCCACATATTGCCAGATCTTAGACAATTAAAATATGATATTCGATGAAACCCAAGAAATGCCATTGACTTCTCCTGCAAGTATTTGTTACTGGTAATGTGTTAAGCAACCCCTCTTTGACCAAGAAATTTCTTCCAAACTTCTTACGGTGACTTGCAATGATCTCCCTCCTGCCTGGATATGCCTTTGACCTATTGGCGTGCGGGATTTCAGGCCAGTCATGGTACCGGGGTTGCACTTGCACCATTTGCTTTAAGAAATAATCAAATCAAGCAAATTAAGCATTCTTCACATGTATCTTTAGTTCAGGAGTCAACCAAATTTTTATTAATCTAGTAACAAGTTGGTCCATTAATTCATTACTACATAATAATCAACATCGCCAGGTTTTTGGAAGTATTCAAATGTTTGATTTTTTTTCCTTTTTGTTTTTTTCTGCTACCAATCTAAGGGCCAGGGATTGTTCTTTTACTGTCTGAATTGGTTGATTGAAGTCAACCAGATTGAAATGCGTCATTTATGCTGAGATCAATGGCACACCAGCAGCTCCTCGATGCGTTGCTTTCTTCATCAAATTCCAAGCTAATTCTCAGAATTTCAGTGGATAACTCATAGACCTACTGGATTAAATTCCTACCCCTCTTTACTTCCAAGTATACACAAAAAAGACAACAATAATGCTTTGGATTCATCTTGCATTCTTTATTTCATTGCTATTTTTATTATTACAATCTATTTCTCATTTTTATTTAGGAGCAAATTAATCTTAAGGAAAGGAGAGCAGGGTTTCAAGGCATTTTCTTCATTAATTTTGGTAGGTTGGACTTAAAAGCTAAAACCCTCACCACACCATCTGCTTTTAAAAATTTGTTTCGATGGATGATAAAATTAAAAAAAATTAAATCATAATAAAATTAAATATATAATCGACTGTTTTTACCAAAAATAATCAAAACGCCAGAAAAAAAAAATCTCAATGCTAGTTTCATCCCCGTATCATCAAAACCCTCCCGTGTTCCAAGCCGACTCCCCCTGCCACACCATCGATCAATCAAAACATAAAACAAAAACAATCATCCCCCAATCCCAATCCTGAAACCCACATAATTTCCGTAATCATAGTTATAGTAACAAAATTTGACGTCAGGATGAAAAAAATCTGAAAATTTTTCATCACTGTGTTTCGTGGAAAATCATGCAATAAGAAATCTGCAACGTTGATGTATGAGACAAGAGGAGGTAATAATAGTAAGGAGAGTGAGACAAAATCCGATGTTAAGTGAGCTTTGGGGGCACCAAATCATATTCACATTCACTTCTCATTTTCCAAAGTGTAAAAAAGAAAAGAGAGAGTGATGAAAGAGCAGTGTCAGGGTTGGGGTGGATTTTCCATTTTCCACTCAGGCAGAGGCAGCCGCTTTCACTTCTTTTCACAACGTCCAAAACTCGGCTTTTCTCTCAGCGGTCGCAAATAAGGAACCTAAAAAAGCAAGAAAAAAAGGAAAAATAAAAAATGGTAAACTGGAAATGTCGCCGATTCCACGTTGGACTCTGAACTAGTCGTCGAAGAGGTTTACGAAACGGTTGCGTTTAATTTTCTTTGTTTCATTACAACATTGGAAAACGATCATGTGTACTCGGTTTCTTTGTCTTTGTCTTTGTCTCTGTCCTTCTCTTTCTCTACCCAGAGTTTCAGAAACACAAACTATTCTCTCTCTTTCGACTGGAAATTTCAGAGTGTTTTCAGAAATTCCAGGTTACTTCATTGTATTTTCATGCTAAAGTGTCTTAAACACTGCTCTCAACTTCCCTTTCCCTGTTTGGCCTCTGAGAAAACTAACACAAAAAAAAGAGAAACTTGCTTAAAAGAATAGAGAGCCTCAATTCAGCTTATCACTTCCCTTCCCTTTTTTTTCCCTTAGCTCTCTGATTTTGGGTGGCTGAAAAGAATTGTTTTTTTTCTTTTTTCCTTAAAAAAATAAACGAGTTAGTTGGTGATAGTTATTGCGCGTCGGGGGATTTTTTAGCTTTTTTTTTTATAATTTGGAAGGATACTAAATTGTTATTGGAGTGACGTCGTTTTCTTATTCGTGGGTAGGGCTTTGAATGACTCGAAAATGGCCGAGTCAACCGAAGTAAGGTTGGTTCGGTGTCCAAAGTGTGAAAACCTTTTTCCGGAGCTTGCTGATTATTCTGTTTACGAGTGTGGTGGCTGCGGTGCTGTTCTTCAAGGTACCTGTCGTTTCTCTTCTCTCTTTTCCCTCCTGGTTGTTTGTTTGGTCGATGAGAAAGTTGTTGAAGACAAGAGAAAGAAACTTGATTTTGAGTATTTGATCTGTGTTAACCTTGTTTCTATCAATGTTGAAACTTGAACCAATTGGTTAAATTGAAGGATTAGGAATATTAAGTGAGGTTTTGTATGACGTTTTTAACAATGAAAACTTGTTAGAATCCAATTGTTAGTTATTTCTTTTGTATTTATCAGCAATGGCAAGGCGCATTCTTGGAAAATTCAAAGTTGGGTTCTTTGTTCTTTTAATTTACTTCGTGCTATATTACCCTCATTTTGGTTTATGATTAAACCTACCATATTTATAAGAAAAGGAAAGAATTAAACGGGCTTAAGCCTCATCGTTTCATAGGTTAGAATCCGTTGTGGTCATAAGAGTATACGAGTGTTATTATAACAAAAGTTTTTGGCTTAATTTTGTTGAAATCAAAATAATGGAACCATTTTAGGCTTTGGATTTCAGTTTCTTGTTATCTGAACCTTTTTGATCTCGGTCCTTTGCAATTAGATGAGCATAATTTCTTCCATAAAATTAATAGATTTTCCAAATTTTGATAGTGGAATGTTGTTTGTTTAACAGCAAAAACTAGGAATTGTGAAGCAGAAACTGTCTCTGAGAAGTCAGAAGAAGACAGGCTTGGCAGAGTTTCTACCAAATCCCATATTTCCTCAGAGAAGGGAATAATAGACTTGAGTGATGCCTCTGATTCAGATGTTAAATCCAGTGCTGGGTCTTTGAGGTGTGATCAAAGGGATTCAGAGAAGAATGATGTTGAGTGCAATGATAAAAGTAGGAATGAATCTAAGGTTGCTAGTCATAAATGGTCTGTTGCGAATGGTAATGATATTAGCAGGAATAAGGATGAAATAGTGAATTCTATTGGAAGAGAACAGAAGGATTTGGATTCAAGTTTTGGATATACTGGTGTATCACAAAGACTGGGACAGATGTCAGATTGGCAAGCTGGGAAGCAAGAAGAGATGGAGGGGTTTCAGAGTATTCCAAGTGCTGTTGTCGAAGGTGTGGGATTCTCAACTTCAAACCATCCAGATGAACGCCCATCAAACCATCATTTGGATTCTTCTTATGGTTATAGTGAATCATTGCAGAATCGAACTAATGAGGATGTTTCTGGTAGAATTCACCTTGAACAAGATCGAGCTGAGCTTCTAAGGAAGCTGGATGAGCTAAAGGAGCAACTTGGTCGGTCTTGTAATGTGGTTGATAAACCAAAAGAGAAAGTTCTGCTTGATGGGAGGGTTGTTCCTCCTGAGTCTTATGGTGTTGCTGATACCTGGTTTCCAAATGGTTCTTCTGGATCACATATGCCCTCAATGCCTTTCTATGGACCTGATAAACATGCTGCAGGAGCAGGACCTTCTTATTTTAGTCATTTTCGAGAGCCATTCACTTATCCTGTTGGGCATGATATGACTCGGCATGGGTTGCATCCTCCAATGCATAATCCAAATCAAATTCCTGCTTATGGAGATCCTTTTGGATCCCAAATGCTTGGAAGAGCTCTGCACCAATTGCCTGGAGAATACCGACAACAGCCACCTCATCCATACTTTTCTGGAAAGTACATTGAAAGTAATTGTAATCCATTTACGCCTTATCCACGAAGTTCACTGTTACACCAGGCTTCTTGTTCTTGTTTTCATTGCTATGAGAAACATCAGCAAGTTCCAGCACCTGTTCCACCCAGTGCATTTGGCAATAAAAGATTCCCTGATGTGCCTAGTAATTCATGGTGCCATATTGAGAACCCTGCAACTTTTGGTTCACATTTCCATAGTTCTAGGACTACGATGCTTCCTCCATTGAATGTGCATGGCACCCAAGCACATGCTAGATGGCCAAGTGATATTAACTCAGAAATGGGTGGTTTTGTCCGGTGCCGTCCCCAGAGGATGACGTTAGCCAGTGGTGGCCGCCGTGTTCGTCCTATAGCTGGTGGTGCTCCATTTGTAATGTGTTATAATTGCTTTGAACTACTACAAATGCCCAGGAAAGTGCAGCTTATGGTGAAACATGTACATAAATTGCGTTGTGGAGCCTGTTCTACTGTGATAAACTTTGCTGTCATCAACAAGAAGCTTGTTCTTCGTGATAATGCAGAAACAAAGGGAATTTCTATGGAGGTTGATGATATCTCTAATGAAGTTGTGAATGATAGTTCCTCACATTTCCATGGCCGTGTGAACCGAATTACTGCTAACTTCTCGTCCGATGACTATGATCATTCTGGTTATGATTCTCTGTCAATGGACAGAGAACCTGTTGTAGTGCCAACTGGCCAGGCCTTGAACTCAGTCAGACCTCAGGAAATGCAAAGCTTTCATTCTTCATCTCCAAGCACCTCTGAGGAAGAAAACAGTCCCGATGTTTTAATTGCTTCAAGGGAGGAAGCGAATTCTGTTCAGCAGCTAATCAAATCCACTTTGTCTCCACCACCTGCAGGCTCACCTCTTCAAGAGCACTTTGATTACTCTTCCAGCAATGCTGTCAACCAATTTGGGAAGGGAAATCGTAGTAGTCGCTCTGATCAAGAGAAAGTTGTGTCAAGCAAAAATTCTTTTAAAGAGGCATCATTACCTACTGAGATGGAGGTGTCATTCAATGAGTATTCTAACACTGGGATTTCCCAAGATTCAGGGGATGCGACCAGAGAAGATGATCAACCAAAAATGGCAAAAGGAGGTGAATCATTTTTTGCAAATGTTATCAAGAAGAGTTTTAAGGATTTCTCAATATTTAATCAAACAGAAGAACATGGGAAAAGTAACGTTTCAGTTAACGGGTATCCTATACCTGAACGTGTGGTTAAAAAAGCTGAAAAAATGGCTGGACGAATTCATCCTGGACAGTATTGGTAAGCATACATTGATTTTCTTTCTGATCTGCTGTGTTGTGGCTTTTACTAGTTTTTTTGTGTCTATCACGATAGGCGTGTATATTTCCATGTAAAGGAATAGATCTACAAATGATTGTTTTGATTGAACCAGATAAATAAAATCTGATTCTGATATTGCTTCATCTAACTATAATCTATCTTTTTTTTGGTCATGTAGTTTCTCATGCATTTTGAATGATTGATGTTGTTTTATTGCAAATGCCTAAATTAGGTATGATTTTCGAGCTGGATTCTGGGGTGTTCTCGGTGGGCCTTGTCTTGGCATAATTCCTGTAAGATTAAATATTTCTTACCTAGATATTAACCGATAAGCATTTTGTTGTTGTTTGGTTTTGCCAATATTTTTTCTTAACCTAATTTCTCTTGCAGCCATTTATCGAAGAATTTAACTATCCGATGCCAGAAAATTGTGCTGGTGGGACCACTGGTGTTTTTGTAAACAGGAGAGAGCTCCACCAGAAAGATTTGGATTTGCTTGCTAATAGAGGGCTTCCAACTGATAGAGATAGATCTTACATCATTGAGATGTCGGGTAGAGTCCTGAATGAAGACACTGGTGAAGAGCTAGATAGCCTTGGCAAACTTGCTCCAACGTGAGCTAATTCTCTGACTTTTTTTTTTTTTTTTGGTTCATCTCCTTATACGTGCTATTTGGTAGGTAGTTAAGTGATGCTCTAACTAGTTAAAAAATAAGCCTTGTTTCTTTTAATTCATCCAGTGCAGCTAATGAGTAATGATATGCTCATGACTGTTTTATGCATGAATCCTTAGTAGGCATAATGCTAGTATGGTTCTTTTTCTTTATGAATGTTGGTTTTTGGAATAAGCCTTGAGGCCAATGATATCTTAGTATAGTGGCAAAGACATGGCTTTGAGGTATTCTAGGATGAAAAGAAATAGGGTTGATAGGCTTAATCAGGTGAAATAACTGGAATGGGGCTACTAGAAGTTAAACGTACTTCTCTATGCCCTGATAGTGGTTGATGGCTACAACATTCATTTCAAATTTCTTTTCATTAATGGTTACAACAATAGTACATCATTCCTGCAATTTTGGCTGATGGTACTAAATTCCACTTGTCATGTATATTAATTGTTAGTACAACATTCCAAACATTGTCCAGATCTGTAGGATGTTTGAAAGCCATCTCTTTAGCTTTTTTCTTGCTTCAGTGTATTCATAATTACTTTGAACTCATTTTTCTATTAATTATACATTGTTATTTAAAACTTCTGTATCTCAAGATGCTATTTCTTGATGAGGATAATATCCTGAAGCATTGTTGATGTGACTTTGAACAGAGTTGAGAAAGCGAAGCATGGTTTTGGCATGAGATTTCCAAGATCAGCTGTATAGTGAATTTGTAACAATCAAAGAGTTATCCCTGGCATACAAAAAGTTTTGATTCATTCTAAATCAAATGCAGAAAGAACCAACTTGGCAAACTGGTTGGAAGGTCTGAGATCTGAATGATGTTTCTTGATGCTACTCTTGATTGGTCAATGTTGGATGATTTCTTATGCCTTGTAAGGTTTCTGATTTATTTTATATTTTCTCATCTTGTTACAATATATATTCTAAATTATTGCTTTCTCTATGCTGCATTTGTATAGGCAAGTTATGTAAATTTTCCTTCATTCTACCACTTTGCTCACTGAATTAGATTGGACTTTCTTTGTCTTTCCTAGCTATCAACGTTGAAAATCTAAAACCAGAAAACCAAATTCCTGTTAGATTCAAGATATGAACATGGGTAGCACGGCTGCTTTCGCACTATAGATGGCACATGTCCAGTTACTCTGGTTCCATGCCTTGAATATGAACTAGATGTATGAAAGTTTTCATGTATTTATTATTATAAATATATTGTTGTCAGGGCTAGAAGTTATGGAACAAGTAGATAGTGTTTACCAAGGACAATCTGAATTGTCTGCAGCTAAGGAATGGTGTAGAATCGTGATCCGACTCAAGACTGACTAACTTAGCAGGCATGTGAAGTCACTGTTGAAGGTACTCCAATCTCTTAGTAGATTGGCCCATGCAATCGTCGTTTTATCTAGCATACGACACAACAACAGGGCTTGCGCTTTGGGTAATTGGCCCTTTTTGGTTTGGTGCTCATCAGGCCAGGGTAGGTACTAAGTGGGCCTCACTGTTAGCCTCTGTTTTTGCTACCGGCTAAGCCTAATCCCACGAATGGGCACTTTGCATCTTCGCATCTTTATCCTTTTGTTCTTCGGCCGAAAAAAGGCCTCATCCTGTCCTAAGCTTTTCACTGTTGATCAAAGATTTAAAATAAGAACGATTGCCTTCGTTAAGCATTGGATCAAGGCCCTCAAGCATCTACTTCGGTGATTAGCATTAGATCTAATCTCTAAAGATCGATTAATGAGCATGTTTTTTTGGATAAATTATGAAATAGAACTAGTAATGTACTGCATAACTTTTTGGAAGGACATGACCCAATGTGGAAATGCTCTCATCAGGATGCGAATCAACAGCCAAGACTAACATTGTTGCATGGGACAATAACACTTAAACATTCATGGCATGTTCCTCCTCTTTGTCTTGACTCTTATAATTTTTCACTTTTCCCACTCTTGGCACGTGAGAACAACACCTCCTTGTTCAGATTTTTTTATTTTCTTCCCTCAAATCAACGTTTAGTTTAGTTTAAGCATCTCGCTTTTTGGTTCTTCCACTAAAATATTTTTCTTAATGGGGTGGCCTGGTGCCCTGATGTTGACCAAAGACCACATTCAAAACCAGAAGCATAAATCATACTACTATAATATTCAGGCTTAAGAAATACCCGACAGCTAAAAAGATAGAAGGTTTGTGTTATTTAACAAAAAAGGAAAATGAATTAAAATTAATTATTAGAAAGGTAAGATTGATTATAACAGTAAAATTAAAAAAAAATATATCCTAGTGTGATTGCACGGGAGATCCAGATGGACCCTAAAACAATAGAAATGAAAAAAGAAGCTCAGCTTCTTCAACCAAATGATGGACATTGCAATTTTTTTTTCAACTCTACCATTTGCATCTCTAAAGAAATTAAAACCAATTTTGACGACACCAACACTTCATAGTAAATCCACCATATCCTATTAACAATATGCCACACCAGTAAACCTTATTTAAGGATTTATCAAGGTCATCTACCACATTCCAAACTGGTTTGATGTTTCATGTTCAAAACACAAAGCCTGACAGCCTTGATTTCTGCAAACTATTTGATCTCCCTTCAAAGATATATGCAAATATGGAGGATGACTAAAACACATGTCAAGAAATAAAATCAAAACAACAAATCCATTAGAAAGGAAGGATGCATGGAACCGATAGCCGATACCTGCTTTATCATGTCGATTTACAAAGTTGTTCTGAGATTCAATGTTCAAGAACATTGTAGTTGAATTGTCATTAAAAGAGACAGAAAAGAGAACCTAGCCCAAATTTCACAATGTGATATTATTCGTCGATGAACTCAATTTTCAAACAGCAACCTAGGCATTTGCCTGCTCAAAAGAGGCCATGAAAAGCTAGTGCCCAAAACCAACAAGCAACTTCTTTCTACTTGGTTGATGGTGGCTTATCCTGCAACTTCTTCTTTGGTTTAAGATATGGATCCTGCAAACATTAAAAAATTCTGAAATATTTTAGAGAGAGCAATACCCCTTACATGAATTCAGACGCGTTTCAGTTTTAATATAATCCACATGAAAATACCTACACAAACAATGAGGAAAAACACATCATATGCTCATAAAAATGATCCTTTCTCATTTTCCAACTGCAATTTCTTGCTGGCATTTTCGTTCTCCAACCCTCTTAATTTTAATTTTTCATTTAATTCAACTATGATTGAGAGTTCAAATACAAAAAAAATCTTCAACTTGGGTGCAATGAAGCAACCTGGATATAATCTATAGAACAACTAAAATCATCATTTAAATCTTCATGTTCCTTATATTATGATGCTCCATCTACTTTAATTTAAATAAAAAGAAAAAAACGAAGTACAATGACAATATATTAAAAAAGTTTATCAGCGATTATTTCTATATATTAAAGTTTGAAACTTTATGTTCGGCAATCAAATAAAGCTCCCAATGAGTAATCTTCAGTGAATTGAAAAAGAGAAAAAACAAAAAAACAAAAGGAACATTATTCCTAATCTACATGTGAAACTAGGGTTTAGAAATAGAAGGGAAAGGTCAGAAGAAATTACGTCAACGAAGAGAAGGTGAGCGACAACGGTGGCTCCCACGATTCCGCCGAGGATGACGACTGGGCCTGTTAGCAAACTCCATTTCCGGTAAATCATATTTCCTGTTTTTTTTTTTTTTTTTTAAAGTCTCCGCCGCTAAGTTTCAGCTTTTTCTTTCTCCTTAAATCGCCCAAATTCCAATAATTCAACACGGCCACCTCGGTTACCTTTAAAAAGAACAGGCCACCTGGGCAATGCTAGGTTGGCCCAAACAAAGCTATAATTTGGGCTAAACTACGGGCCCTAATTCAGAGGCCCTCAGTCTTTAGTTTCAAAAATAGGCCCAAACTCATAGTACCGGAAAAAATAGAGCTTGTATAAATCAAATCAGTGTTGAATGAACCCTGTTCATCATATAAGACCAAAAACAAAGATTGCCAAGTTACAAACTACTATGTTTCAACTTCATCCCAATTTGTAATATTTGAATTTGACCATTAGGCTGCCTTTCTCTATTAATTTTCTTTTGTGATAAAAGCGATACTTTCTCTATTATTAATTTATAATTCAGATATTGCCTTGGGAGAAGGACAATAAATGAAAATTTTGATTTTGGATATACACATAGAACATAAAAATTTTATTAAAGCTAAATTGAAAAGGCTATAAACCAACATAATATTAAAGGCATGTAGGTCGAATATTGAATTGATTACTTTAATTAATACTAGTTTTATAGAGCTATTGGCGAATTTATGAAAGTCCTTAGAGAGGAACTGAAAGTAATTAACATTTTGCAGTATTTGGCTAATTATTGAATCAAGACTTCACTTACATACATGTTTTAAAAGCATTTCTTCTTCTTTTTTTTTTTTTTTTTTTTTTTCCTCAATGATTGGATTACTATTATACAATATATAAAGAATCTAATCCTTAAAATCTTCAATCTTTGTGAAAAGTGAGATTTGTTCTCAAGACACCATCATGTTTTATGAGTTGTTAGGAAGCAAGACAAACATGTCGTCAAAATTTTGCCATAAATTTCTGGTCCACTCCTTTTAGTGTTGGGTCCGATTTGTATGAAACAACTGACTAATAAAGTTTGTTCTTAATTCATGGCTAAATCTTTTAAAAAAGTTTCAGTATTTATGATCATCAAAATTTCGATTTTAATCAGTAGGATTGGAATTGTAATTTGACATTTTCAAAATTACTGTTTTTTTTTTTTTTACAAGGTCTTCCTTTTTGAGAGGATTTTAATCAGATTAATACATGCATGAGATTAAAAAAAGAAGTCAAAAGAAATAATTTAATGCTTCTTTTTGCTTGAATCCATCCAACAATGATTTGTACTAGCAAATGCTGCGTCTTGTTCGATCCGGCCAATAATGGTTCCAGTTAAAAGCTGCACTTTTCCATCGTAACAGCAATCCAAATTCAAGCGCAAAATAAAATGCATAGAAAAGGTTTATATGACATAAGCCTTACGTCTTAACTGACGTCATCACCCCCAATCATGTGATTGCATACCTAATAACACACTAAACTTCACAAGCTGTGTTGTCTAATGGAATTTTGTGGTAGACACAATTTTAAATATAATATAAATAATTTTAACATAAATATGAAATAAATAATTTAAGTATAAATATGATATATGTATTATATATATTATATGTGACATGATATAATTAACATATTTTAATTTATTTTAAAAATAAATAGCATAATACGATATAATTAATATGATTAAACATAATTAAATATGATTAATATAAAAATATTTAATAAAAAATTAATATTAAACCACAATAATAATATAATAAAAATATTACAATCCTAAATATAATTAACAATTTAATCATATATTTTTCATAAAAAAATAAATATAATTAATTATTTGAAAAAGATATCATTTAAACATATTATAAATGTATCATTTATACATGTTAATAAAATAACTCTCAATTAAAACACAATTAATTAATTAATGTATTTTAAACATGAAACACCCACATTCTTTCAACAATCAATGTAAAATAAGTACATATTCATAATCAGCCCTGTATTATTCTATTCTACAAATCCGACCCCCAAAAATAAACAAGCAAATCGTCTCAACTCCACAAAAAAATAATTCCCCTACAAACAAACAATTCCTAGCCTCCCCCCCTGTTTATATACGCACAACAATAATCTGAACTCAACCTTCTATATAAACCACAACTTTCTTCTTCTTTTTCCATCACACCTATAACTCGACCAGATAAAGAAAAAAAGGAAAACACAAAAAAAAGCAAGAAAGAGTAGTTTGTTTCACTGCCATGGCAAAAGCGCAAACACCCCATATAGTCATTCTGCCGAGTCCTGGGATGGGTCACCTCATTCCACTTGTTGAGTTTGCCAAGCGACTCGTCCACCAACACGACTTCACTGTCACCTTTGTTATCCCCACCGATGAACCTCCTTCTAAAGCCCAAAAATCAACTCTTGATTCTCTTCCAAGCTCTATAGATTCTGTTTTTCTTCCTCGTGTTGACTTCAGTGACCTCCCTGAAGATTCAAAAGTTGAAAAGGTGATTTCTTTAATTGTGGCTCGCTCCCTTTCTTTCCTTCGGGATGCTTTGAAGCCACTGGTTGCAAAGACCAAACTTGTTGGTTTGGTGGTTGATCTTTTGGGACTGACGCATTTGATGTTGCTAGAGACTTCAACGTCTCCCCGTACATATTTTTCCCTTCCACAGCCATGACCTTGTCTCTGTTTCTTTACCTCCCAAAGCTTGACCAAATGGTTTCATGCGAGTCAGGGATCTGCAAGAACTGGTGAGAATACCTGGGTGCATTCCAATTCACGGGAAAGAATTGCTGGACCCAACTCAAGACAGGAAAAATGATGCTTACAAGCGGCTTCTTCATCATACAAAGAGGTATAGACTGGCTGAAGGAATTATGCTGAACAGTTTCGTGGACTTGGAAGACGGAGCAATAAAGGCTTTGCAAGAGAAAGAACCCGGTAAGTCACCGGTTTACCCGGTTGGTCCACTTGTTAACATTGATCCTCATCCAGTGGTAAAGCTGGTGGGTCGGATTGTCTGAAGTGGCTAGATCATCAGCCACATGGGTCTGTTTTGTATGTGTCATTTGGGAGCGCTGGGACCCTGTCTTACAACCAGATGAATGAGTTGGCTCTGGGATTGGAAATGAGTGAACAACGATTTTTGTGGGTTGTGAGAAGCCCATATGATGAGGTTGCTAACGCCAAATTTTTCAGTGTCGAGTCAGAAGGACCCTTTTAATTTTCTACCAAAGGGCTTTTTGGAGAGGACCAAAGGCCGGGGTCTAGTGTTGCCATCGTGGGCACCACAGGCTCGAGTACTGAGCCACGGGTCTACAGGAGGGTTTTTGACCCATTGGGGGTGGAATTCAACACTTGAAAGTGTTGTTAATGGGGTGCCTTTAATCGCATGGCCACTCTACGCTGAGCAAAAAATGAATGCCGTGATGCTAACTGAGGATATTAAAGTTACATTGAGACCAAAACCCAATGAAAACGGCTTAGTTTGCAGAGACGAGATTGCAAAGGCTGTTAGGGGTCTAATGGAAGGCGAAGAAGGGAAAGGTATTCGAAATAGAATGAAGGTCCTGAAGGAAGCAGCAGCGAAGGTGCTTAGTGAAAATGGGTCTTCAACCAAGGCACTCTCTGAGATAACTAATAAGTTGAGGAACCAGCCAGGCATCTAGAAATTAATTAGAAACCCAGCCATTTTCAATCTCCTTTTTTCGTTCTCCTATTACCTTCTACCGTTAAGTTTGTGTACTTTTGGCTTGATGTTCTACATTTCTTTTCCATTTTCCAATATATGGTCTACGCCATCTGGTTGTAACAACAGCTAGCATATGTGTTTGAATGTTAGAAATGGTTGATATACGGTAATCAGTTTTCTTGGGAGTTTCTAGTCAAGTTCTTTCTTCCCTTCCTTTAACTTTGCTTATTTTCTGCAGTAGGTGAGATTTGTCCTGCCACGGTCTAATATTCATTGAAGTGTATGAGAGCCTTCAATCATGCAGAAGGGATGGACCCACCCGACCAAGAAAACTTGTTGCATCACATTTTAGAGATGACCACACTTGTAGCATTTATTGAAAGTAGTTGTCTGGTATTGACACGATGATAACTCTAGTCCATTGACAAGTACGGCAACTGTGGAAAGCGAAAAGAAAAGAAAAAGTTATTGCCTAAGAATGAGGAAAGAAACAAGGTGGGTGATTCCCGTTAAAAAACATCCTGCCTCAAATATCTCAAGTACAGATCAATTATTAACTGCCTCATCCATTATAGGGTTCATTTACAGACTATTGATTTCCCTTCTGGAAGCATGATCGGCCAGCTAGCTTCTGCGACAGTCAAATTTCGTGCTTTATTTCATCAGTTTGGGTAACCCAAACATTCCCCTTAACATGATCTTACTCAGTTTGGAAAAAAAAAAAAGGAAAAATAAAGATTGATGAACAAACATTACCCACGTTTGTGGCAGTCTCTTTTTGGCCAACGTATGCTTAGGATTGACATCGGATCGGGTTTGGATCGAATTTTATTCTTTTGAATCTGACTCAATTTAATTTTTATTAAATCTGAATCCGATTCTATCCGAAATTTTTTTTAATTTTTCATACCCGAACTCGACATAATGTAAACCGTATCAGATCCAACCCGAAATTAATAAAATATTTTTTTAATATAAAATATTATTTTTTAAATATAAATATTTAAAAATATAATTATATAAATATATATAATAAAAAATTATATAACTAATTAAAAAATAATTTTTTATATAATATCAGGTTGGATCAAGTTTTAGACAAATTCGACCCGACTCCGATCTGATACCCGAATTTCAAAAAAAAAAAACCTACCCCGCAGGGTCTGATCGGGCCGAAACCGTCGGGGACGGGTTAGTTCACCGTCCCTACATGTACTCTTCAAAAAAAAATTGGAGAAAGAGACTGGAAGGGACTTCTAGGTAAATTTTCTATACCGATTTTTCTAGATGAAAAACAGTGATTTGTGACATTCATACCTCATACTTCGATTTGTATTAATCTACTTGGTACTCAGCACGATGTGCTCAAAGTGGAATTTTCTTTTCCTTCATTTTATCTATTAATCCAATATTACCAACTCGTTACCCTACAAATTTCGGATACAAAGTCGCTCTTCCAACATGTCTCTCTTCCACATACTAGAACTCCCCCACCATTATGGCATTATAAGTCAAGTTTTATTAGTTTCAAAAGGAAGCAGGAACCCTCTCTCGTTCAAATAATAACGAGAAGACAAACGTTGGAACCTACTCGGCCCTGAGATGCTCACCTAAGCTTAGCGTCATTTGGTTCTTTAAAAGCTACCTGCCCCACGATCGAGCATGGGAATCATCACCTCTTGTAATTTATTTGGATTCGGTGCAAAAATGTTCTTGTGGCTGTTGGGATAAATTATGTTCTGGGTCAAAAGACTCACAACTCAAAACAAAGCTTTCGTCGTCCCACATTGTTTGGTCTGAATTCAAAGTTATACAAAAGTATATAAACTATTTTTGAGATGAATCAAAATTCAAGAAGACAATTTCTACTTTTGTTAATTAATCGAAATAATTGTTAATTAAGAATTATTATTATTATAGATAATTGTTTAATTGATCGATAATTAATGTGATTGGTGGTGCTGATCAAGAGGATAATCTATATTATTGCATACAAATATAGATCAGTTGAAGCGTCTTTATTATAAGTTGTCTTTCTTAGAATGCATGATAGATGGATAGAGGTGGCAGACGACTTTGAAGCCAAAGGCAGGCAAAAGAAAGAAAAAACAGGAAACAATTTATGCATCATCATTATTTTATTTTTTAGCCCCATAATTTAGAATTTTTTGTTTGGTAAAATCTAGTGATTAACAGTCGTGAAGGTGAAAAAAGTTGGGTATAATTGTTTCATTTTTAAACTTTTAATTGAAAAATATTTTTCTTTCTTGTACTTGTTAGTTAACAATGATTTGTCCTTTCAATTTTGATTGCTTTCAAATTTCCACGCAAATAAAGGAATTGTGGATGGACTAACTAGCTTTCCTTTTTGACATTTTCTCGGCTATATTTTTCTTCTGGGTACACAAATCAGGGCTTTAGGATGGATGAATACTGTTGGCCTGTTCAAGAAATAGCATTTCCCTAAAGTCACGAGTCATTGGTAGTAAACGATTTGAACTTTCTTCATTGCTGATGCGAATCGGACAAATCACATGGTTAAAATATTGGGAATCAACACTTCCCGAGAAAGAATTGTTGAGGTACGATGGAGAGCTAGAGAAAGTGAGCCTTGTTTGTGGCCTATTGGGAAGGGAAACACTTCTCTCTAGCATGCCTGAAACCATGAGTGCTCATTTCTCAAGGCACAAAGAACAAGAGGAGGTATCGCACTAAGGTTTTTGGAGGAATTATTGGGTGAAGTCCCAATTTTGCAAATTGAAGATCTTTGCGATGCTCACATTTTTTGCCTGGACAAGCCCTCTATCAGTGGTAGATTTCTCTGTGCAGACGCAGGTTTGAGCTCTGCAGATATTGCTAGCCACTGTCGAAAACAATATCCAGATATCAACGTACCTGATGAGTAAGTAACTTACCATGATCCTCTCTACCTAAAGGCTGGCTTCAGATTGTGAACATGGTTACAACTGAACTCGGGATCCAACATCCTTAATCACATATGTTCACTGGTTTTGTTCATCCTTTGATTTATTTAGTTTCAGGTTTATGGATAATTCAGGGAGGGAAATCTTTTGGGACTCTTCAAAGCTAAAAGAAATTGGATTTGACTACAAATGTGATGTCAAAATGATACTAGAAAACAGTATCAACTGTGGGCTAAGGCTGGGTGAATACTCTTTCCAGCAGCCCATTAAGAGCCATCCTCTCGGATATTTTTTGCTTCTAATCACCACATGTAATGCAAGATATTCTGCTATGCATGGATGATCTAATATTGAGATTGCTTCAAAAAAGCTTTTGTAGCAAGGCCAATTAAATAATTTTCTTTCTTTTACTTTTTTTCTTTTGCTACATCATATAAAAATAAACTTATCATTGTTGCTATTGTTTGGAAAGAAGCAAGGTTGAGTTGAAATATTGTTGTTTTAGCAGCTAAAAAAAAAACTATTGATTAGTTAGACTAGTTCACACATTTATCAACAAAACATCACTATCACATTCACATGTAAATTGAAGATTTATAAAATTTTACATGGATGGAAGGTTGCAACTCTTTTTTCTGTGACTTCGTTACAAGAAATACTCTCAAACCCCCCCGAAATAAGAAAGGTAAATGAATAATTAAAAGCAAATGAATTGGAAAACAGATTATTTCTAAGAGTTGAGCTGCTAATCAGACTGATATTTCTCGTGATTAGCTCCGATCGAGACTGATGCATTGCTGTCTGGTCACAGCTAATATGAACACTCCTCAATCTCGTTCCTAATGCTGGCTGAGCTTACTCTGACAAATTAGTGTACTACATATATCTTCTTTTCTCCTTCTGCTCCTAATGAGGTGGAAATTTGAAAACCATATTAAGGGAAGAATTCAAGATTATCAGATGGGAAGGTTGGATCAAATTCCAACTTATCAAGTGATGAGATATCCAGGTCTCCAATTGGCGAATTAGTAACAGAAGTTGGTGCAGAGATTATCTCTGTAAGATCAGATTCAGAAGTCTGCACATTGTGGCCTAAACCAAAGCTGCCCATTTGACACGGTGACACTGAAAAATAGTTGGATTCAGATGTCGCAGGAGATATAAATGCCGCAGAAAGGTTTCCCATGATATCATTTTCCATTAGGGAACAAACAAATATGCCATTTTCCACTTCTGATTCAACAGGGAAAGAAAATGAAGGAAAAATGTCCTCCCTATTGTCCAAGTCCTCTGTTTTAACCTTGAGCCCTGTTTCAAAACTCAAAAACATCTCTTGTGATTGTTTTTGTTTCTCTTCAAGTTGCTGCTTTTCTCGAGAATGATTACCTTTCTCTTTGGACGCTCTTGTCACTGGTACAGACGTGGTAGCGAAATGAGAGGCTCGGTTACAGGTATGTCTTCCTCTATATTTCACCTCAAAGATTGTAGGGTCTCTGTCTGATCTTTGAACTTGCTTAGTGGCTAAACAGCCTTGCGAGTGACGATGAGTGCATCGATAATATCCCCTGACATTGAGCGTCCAAATTCAATGATAGAAGCTATATAAATACAAATCCAGGTCGTGTACTAGACTAAGTTCCAAGAAAGTAAAAACAGGCAATGTCTTTATCGATACTATAGCAAGGTTAAATTGCGTGGCATATATGAAATATATAACTGTATTAAAACTTTTCCCACCTTGGATTATTGGATCCAAGAATATCTTTCTGCCCATATTTTCGCCAGCAATATCCATCATCAAGAGGCCCCTCTAATGACGTCCCAGAGCAAACCCTAACTTGCTCGGTCCACCCGGACGATGTTTTTCTGCAACAGGAACAAATGATTAACACGTCAAAATTGAATTTTGGATCGAATTCTTCTACTTATGTTAAACAAAACTGTAAGAAAGAATAAGAAAATGGTGTAAGTCCTATATTTACCTCTTTTTAAATACATCCTTTTTATCAGAGCCCTCTCTTCCGGGGCTGCTATTGGCAATGGAACCTGCAGGAGATTCCAACGTGCTACCCGTGGGTTTAGTTTCAAAAGCAAAACCCCTCCAATTAAGCATTGAAAGAGCTTTCTCATAAGAACGGAGGATTTTCTCAAGTAAGACTTGGCATGTTTCAGGAGATGAAGACGGATGGAGATGCTTCCTGAGCAGATTAGTTAGTTCTTTTCCCTGTGTCAGCTCATTCAAAAGAGTCCTTTGCTCCCAATCCATTGTTTTTTCCATTGAAAACAAATGTACCCAAATATGTGGAAAAACTATACGCGCTCAACGGTAATAGTTTTGCCTAGTTGAGGGGTTTTAAAACTTGAAAAAAAAAAGATTGGAGCAATTCTAGATCATGTCAGGAGATAATTGTAGCTTTTCACAAAAACAAAGAGCCAAAAAGCAAACAACATGGAAGAAGTTAAGATCCAAATTGCAACTAGAAATAAAAACCCAAATGTGGGAGCAGGGCAAACGAACAGAAACAGCAAGTCTACAAAGTGGGGAAATGATGGAACGTAGTTTGGCAGAAAGAGATATAAATTAACCAAGAAAGGTGTAGATGGTAAGCTATGCATGCAATGAGAAGAAGAGAGGCTTTGTTAAAAAAAAAAAAATGAAAACCCCGGAAGGGAGGAGGATATTGGAAAGAAAGGAGGTGGAAAGGGGGAGAATTTGACTAAGAAGCGAAAATTGTATAGTCACAAAATGGGGTGGGATGTGGTATTATAGTGGATAGAAAGGGTGAGAAGGGCTGACCAATTCAAACCCCACCCAACAATAAGGTGACCAATCGAAGTTGGCTAAGAGTGAAAACGAGATATTCTAGAGAGGAATGGTAGAAGAAAGTCCGAGATGAATGAATGAAAGAAAGAAGAGGGAAGATAGGACAAAAGCAAGCAGGAATCTTCCAATCTTCTTCCGCGTTGTTGCTAACGAGAATCGGTAAATCACTATATACTAGAGGGGATCAAAGTAGATCTGACGTGAATTTGTGGCGTCATGTCCAACCCCTTGCTTACGATGATGTTGATCGATCACCCGGCACTAAAGCATGTATACATTTGAGATTTTTAGCTTACAAACTAAGAAAACCCGGTTGAGGTTGTAGATACTCCATTTCCCTTGAGGTGTGCATTTAAATTTTTGGTTTTGATTTTGTTAAGATTATAGAGTTTTGAGCAATATGTACGTTATTTTAACGTGGGTTTTATCTTAATAAATATTTTATTTTTATTTATTTGTTTATTTTTTAATAAAAACTAAATAAATAAATAAATAAAAGAAAAAAAATCAAACATAATTTTTTGGAAATCTTGTACAAAAATTGGGTAAGGAAAAATTTTTAGGATTTTTTCTTAACTTGAATGAAATAAGAAATAAAATAAAAAAAAGATCTTAAAGCATCAAAACTAGATTTTTTATTAAATTGATTTTTTTTAATTAAAAGGATTTTAAAACATTTTTAAAAATTATTGATAATCAATAAAATCCTAAAATTTTTAACTAGAAAATTCTTATAAATTATTCTAAGGTGGATAAAGAATAGAAATGAAAAGATTATACCAAAACTCTTGAGAAAAAAAAAAGAGAAAAAAATCATTAAAAAAAATGATTTTTGGTAGTAGTTTTTTTTTTATATATATTTTTTGCAGAATCTAGAATTATGATGATTTATTCTAATAAGGCATGCTCCAATGCTTTAGGTGACTTTAGGTTTTATTTTATTTTTATTTATTTAATTATTTATTTGATTATCTATTAATTTTTAAATAAATTTTATAAAAACATATTTAAATAAAAGTTTTACCAACAGATTGAAAGGTAATTATTTTTTAAAAAATAAGATTTTATTAATATATTGAAAAATCTTATAACCTTTTTTTAAAATAAAAAGCTTTACCAATATATTAAAGGATTAATTTTTTATTTTCAAAATAAAGTTTTATCAACATATTAGAAATACTTATAACTTCTTTTAAAAAATCAAGTTTTAAAAAATAATAATAATAATAATATTTTTTGTCTTTTTGCATAAAATTTACTAACAGATTGAAAAATAATTTTTAACAATAAGTCTTACCAACATATTTAAAAATATTTATGATTTTAAATAAGTATTTATTTTTTAAAGTAAAACTAAGTAAATCCAACAATGGAACCTCTTCAAGGTGTGACAAAAAGTTTCATTGAATACTTCTAAGATAATGAATCTTTTTAAATTATTACCACCATATTTGGAGTAATTTAAGAAAAATTATTAATATTAAATTATTTGATAAATTTTAAATATATTATAAGATTTAGAAAACTTAAAATTAAACTAGTATCATCTTTTTTATGGATGTTATGAATGTGCTATAATTTTTCTTACGTATAATCGTGCTTTTCGAGTTCAAATTTTGATTTTGTTGACTAAAATCTACTATTTAAAAATAATTAGGTTAATTTTTAGATTATTCTTTAAACAGAACAGATTCTGTCAGGTAACTAATCATACTTTAATAAAAAAATTTGTGACAATTCTTTTAATTTGTATCTAATAATAAATCTATGGATCCATACGTAATGACAGATAGAATGCTAAATTCTGAATAACAATAAAATGTTTTTTCCTTTTGCACAAGAAAAATGGTTATCTAAAAAAAATAAGGTATAATTAAACACTAATCCAAATGCTTAGGAATCTTTATCTTGTTTTTTCTATATGATTGTTGTGAAATTTATATATGAAATTCATGTTCATGTAAATCAGTTTGAGGTTTTTTGTTTTTTTTGGTGATTTTTTAAGTGCTTTTTTTTGTTGAAATTTTCTCTTTCAAAATTCTTAAGAAAACGTTTCATTCTTTCACTTTGCGGTATAAATCCCTTTTTTATATTTAAAATTACTGAGTATCAAATTTTAATTATTAAAATTAAATTAATAGATCATATGACCATTGTTAATAAAAATATATTTTTACTTTTCGCAATTTTATTAAACAATGGTCAAAAGATTGTAAGCTTAATGGCACTGAACTTTTGTTTGAGAAAAGGAATAGGTGATAGGTGTAAATTTGATGATGTTGATTTTTTTTTTTTTTTCTAAATGATGTTGAAGTCTTGAATCCAAATCCACGGCAAAAAATATTGGTCGGCCCGGGATTTGAAGATTTGTAAAACAATGTTTTCCAATTGAATGTGGTGAATAGAAATAAATTATGGATTAAATATATGAAGAATTATATTATAATTTATGTTCGGTTGGGTTTATGTCATGATGAGCCTCTATATCCTCAACATGTGCGTCATTAAGAATGCCAACTACACAAAGTTCTGAAGATTTTTGTTAGATGGAAGACTACTTAGACCATGAAAGAAAGAAAAAAGAAATAACATTAGAAAAATTTTCAAATTTGTTCAAAGAACAAAAGTAGGATTAAAGACTATGGAAGAGATCTGGGTATCGATTTTTAAAATAAAAATTTACCCATATCGAGATTGTGTTCATACCAGAGACTGCTCATATATTTTTTTATGTAACCATCAACCAAGTATTGTATTTTTTTCATATAGTATAATGCTTGTATAAATATAATACTGAGTCTTGAGCCTTGACACACTCTTGATTCTTGTAACATAAATTAAGCTTAGCTGGAACTATCTGGGTGCGAATTTCAACAGCAGGTTAATTGAATCTGGTGGCCTTATTGGATGATTTCATTAATTAAGTAGGTGATATAACCTTTAATTCAAACTACAGAAAGGATTGTTAACACAAGACGATTTTTTTTATTTAACGTAATTTAATTAATTTATATAATTATTTTTAAAATATGATATTTAAACTTTAGGATATTATTTAGAGGAAGATGATGGGAAAGCAATAAGAATGTGACAGTTGGAAAGAATTGCACTGCTTTAAGGTACAGAAGGGGTTTAAAATCTAAACTAATCAAAGATGGAGCCCACAATACAAAGTCCAAGCACGTGTTCGCTTGATTTGGCTTTTCTGAATTTTGAGTTCGCCTTGCAAGCTGGTTTCACAGAAATTTAAGATCTGAATTTGAGATAGGGCCTACTATTATATTATTCCAGGAGAAGCGAAGAGTATCAGCTCCTTTCCTAATTCGTGTTCACACCTTATCGGAAAAGAATCCATCGCAACCATCGCTTTTACCCCCAGTCACATGGTTTGCTTAAAATATGTAAAATCGTAACCTGTTCTAATGAACCTAAGCCTCTCTTTTATTTTTGTGATTTAAAAAAAATTTATATATATTTATCAATAAATAATTAGTTTCAATATATTAAAATTATTTTTTTGATAAAAATTTTTTGAATTTTAATATTATCGATAATTATTTGTTTGAATTTTATCAAATACATGACTTACAATCATTTATCTTAAATTATCAAATATGATATATTTTATTTTAATTTGAAAAATTAGACAATTCATTTACCTAAAATTTTTTTTTTACAAAAAAAAAATTATATATTTGGCATCTATCAATGGGCAATTTCATCTGTTGTTAATAAATTTAATGATAGATTTTGAAATGATTAATTAAAATATTGTATTTTATTTTAAATATCTTAATATAAAAGATATATGCTAACAATATATTTAAATAATAACTCAAAAAATCATATATAAATTTTATTAATTCATTACATGATTATGACTTTAATATTTGTGGTAAGCTAATTAATTTTAAAGTTTATAAATGATAAAAGTATAAGAAATTCTTTAAAAAATAAAATAGTCTATTGAATTTTTTAATACTTTAACTTAAATGAACAAATGTAATAATATAATTTTAATTAATTTTAAATTACAATACATAAAATTAGATTATAGAAAAATTAACAAATAATAAGCTTAATTTGAGGGTTCAATATAATTTTATCTCTCCGATATCATCCGCTCTTGAGTAAATTACACTATCAGACATAAAACATTTGACTTAATGCATGGTAATTATGCACATATCAATTGAAGAAAGAGAATATAATTTCTCTTTTCTTTTTCTGCTTCATTTATTTCTTACGACTATTGCACAGACCATTATTTAAAGGAATCAATCAGAGTTTGTGTTTAGAAGACGAAACGTATTGCCTTCGATTTGCATAAAAATAAATGTCGACCAACCAAACGATCATCATTGCCCTTGAATTTGAACCCTGAATCCAGCTTTTTGACAAAATCAAAAAAATCATGTATGGAACATAGTTTTCTTCCCCTTCAATTATTGGCAAGCCATAATGAAAACTGAAGAGGCAAAACAAAAGCCTCCAATCTGAGTCCATCACACTACTAATTTCCAAGAAATTTCAAGGTTGTTGTGTAGGAAACTTTAAAGTGATTAGTTTGGCGAATATTAGAAGCTCTTAACCATGTAGGGTCCAAAGGATTTTGTTCTGACTTTTTTTCTTTCCCTTGTACAAAAGTAAAAACTACGTGTGGAAGTAGTGTTTTTTTGTTCTTTCTTTTTCTTAGCTTCTATTTTGCTTCTGCCATGGACTAGGTCAAGTTCTGCATTTGTCATTGTTCATTATAATGTTGGGTAAGAACCGGGCAATGCCCACGTGGAAAAGATTTTTCTTTTGTTTTTTTTTTAATACAAAGTTGAAATAAAACATCAATGTTAAGCAAGATTCAATGAGGCCAAGATTTAATTTAGGTAATTGACAGTTATCTTTTAGAAATATAATATTTGATAGGTATAGGATTCAAATATTTACATTTCTCAATTTATATCATCTCTTTTATATTAAAAAAAAAAAATCTATGTATCATGATCCTATGAATTACAAGGATAACATTATTATATTAGGTAAATTTGTAATTCCATAAACATTTGATTTCGCGGTCAATATCTAATCAATTTTGAGGAAATACGAAGCTGATTATACATATAATTATTTTCTTAGATTCTGCTAAGGAAACCCCCAAAAGAAAAATCTGGCTGATGGTTATTAATACCTCAATTCCTATAAAGTTCCTTCTAAATTTCTAAATGTAATAAACGATGACAGTGTTATCTTGTCCCCTTGAACAGGAATTTTTTTGGATGGTAGAAACAAGCTTCTATCCTCTTTTCAAAAGACAACTAAAAGGCGAATTATATTTCTTTAGTGAAATTTAATTTGAAACAATCGTCGCAAAATAAATCTCTATGGGGTCCATAAAACAGATTCGTCACCTTTACTTTACTTTTTAAGAAAAAAAGTGATAGAGATCAGGCAATGCGGCTATCTGATCTAAAAATCTGTTCCCATGTATTATTCTAAAAGGTGGGTGTGAAACAATAGCATATTCCTTGAAACACAAATTCTAAAAGGAAATCCGATCGAGTGTGTATGTTGGTCTATGATGTTTCCATATTGTTTGTTGGATATTTTTCTTAAACTTAAAAGAACGTAAAGTTAATTTGTTATTCGGCAAAGAAAGGGGAAAAAGATAAAGAATAAGGAATTAAAATAAAGTTTGAATTAATGAAGAAAAATGAATGCAAGTAAAATTCAACCATAAATTAAATTTTATATCCATATAAAAATTATTTAATTAAATAAAAACAAATCAAGCAAGAAATCAACATATAATTAAAAATTTTATTATAAAATTAAATCAAATTCATACATGACAAGATTTAATTGTATTGATTATATCTTATTATAATCTAACTAGCTAAGAGTAAAGTATTAACTTAAATTCAAATTCAATCCGAATTGTTCTAAGGATTTCGACCTAAAGGCAAGATGCAAGATTCCTCGTTGGTTTTTTTTTCTATTTAATTGGTTTCTCTACATATGAAGGAAGCCCTACCCGTTTCCGATAATGATCAGTCGCGATCCCTAATTTTGGAGTTTGTACTGGGCCTACATACTCGTGAATGAAAGCCCATCCACTTTTGTCTTTTGAGTTTTTCACTTGTTGGGCTTTCTTTTACTCTATATTTGATTATCGTATATAATGAAATTAGAACGGTCGTTTTCGCGACAATAAATAAGGAACAAAAATAAAAAAGGACAACAAAGAGAAAGCGCTTTTTAGAAAATCCGATTGATGTTTGAATTTCGATAGATTGTGGGAACCTTTAGACGATGATGAGTTCCAGCCATGGAGTGGAGCCATGGGCCAGGTCAAGTGAGTACTGGGTATTATAGAGTGGGGACATGGCTTGAAACTTACTGAAAAATAGATTTGATAATTTAAAATATAATATAATAATATAATATAAAAATATAAAATAATATAATTTAAATTTTATAAAAATTTAATTAAATTTAATAAAATTAAAATTTTATATTTTATATTTTACATAATTTAAAATTTATAAAAATTATAATTAAATTTAATAATATAAAATATGATAGGTAATTTTTATATAAAATATGATATAAATATAATATTTTATATAAAATAGTAATATGAATTATCAAATTTACCGAAAAGCCATTGGCTGTGACTTTTGGACTGATGCGTTGCTAAAGACCAAATCTGTATCATATGTCAGATTTATGATATGGCATTCTATTGTACCATTATTAATTATTGCATGATTATTCTTCATATTCAAACGGTCCAATCAAACGAGCCTTTGATTGATTATTCAAGTTTGAAGTCCATAGACTAAATAGATAGTAAATGATGGGGGGCAAGTTGTACTAATTGATGAGGCAGGAGGGGGGGGGGGGGATTGTTAGTTGGGGTTGGGTGGTTTTCATTCAGCAGCTAACTCAGTCAGCTGGTGCAGCACTTTAAGCCTCGAAAGAGTGCCAATAAAGTGAAAGGAATGAAATGATGAGACAAACCATACGACATCAAATCTATAGAAGAAAACAAATTAACTCCATGGGAATTTGTTTAATATACACAAGATCTGAGAGAGACTTACTTCTACTCGTGTGATTCAAAAATATTTCTTTATGTGTACAAAATAAAATGAAAATTGTTTCTCATGATAAAACAAAATTTCATTTGATAATTTAAAAAATAAAATCTGTCAATTTATGATACGTCAATTTATGCATAATATAATATTTAAATAAATCAAGAAAATCTTATTGATTCAATAGTATTTTGAAAAAAATTTCAAAAAATATTATTTTTTATAATTACTATTATAAATATATAAAAAAATATTTCACCAATAGTTTAGTGATATATTAATCAGTGTTAAACTTTAATTCATTTAATAACTTCAATTAAAAAAATTGTTTCACTAAATGATGAGCTATTATTATATATAAATATATATAAAAAAGAATTCATTTACGCATGTGTAAGTGTTAATTTTTTTACCTTTGAATTTAAATCAAAATAAATATTTTAAATCTCACTTATTTTAATTTAAAAATAGAAGAATAGTCTAACACTTAGATAATATTTGATATAAGATAATCATTTTAAAAAGTATGATGATTTACATATGATGATTAGATTACTATATTTGATATGCACTCATTGATCTTACATTGCAGTGATCTTAGATTAGTAAAAATGATCAAATCATTGCCTTGGAGGTTGATCTAATACTCATATAAAAAAATCGAAAAATTTTTATCACAAAGATGAAATTATATATAAAATTAACGATAATTTTACCCATTAATATGTGAATTAAAAATTGATTGTATCTTAAAATTATAATTAGTTTATATTATAAAAATTTATATTTTTAAATTAATATTAGTTATAATAAGTTCAAAATAATTTTTGTAATTTTTATATTTTTAATATTTTATATATAGCATAATTTTTTTATTTTCATTTATTATGAATTTAATAGATTAATTTTATTTTCTAATTCAAAATTGTTTACATAATTTATATTATAAAAATCAATTTATCTATCAATAAATATATTTATTAATTTAATAATATTTTATTATAAAATAAAAAATATTACTAATATTTATAAATTATTATTTTAAAATAACCTTAAAATTATTAATTTGTATAACTATTACAATATGTATAGTTATTTTTGTATTTTTAAACAAAATAATATTTAATTTTTAATAATAGCAAATACAGTAATTTTTAATTCTTAAAAATTAATCATTACTAATAAAATAAAGTGATTTTAAATAAAGAATGTTAAAATAACCTTAATAATAAAATTATTAAAATAATTATATTATCATGATGATCTTACAAAATATATCAAATACTATTATATACTAATATAATTGTATTAAATCCTTACTATATATTTACCGTTGCAAAAATAAAAGGGAGATTCAACTGAAAAGAGACCCGCAACAAGCTCTTATCTTTTGGCAAGATTTGGGTCCGCTTGCCTTACAAAAGAAACGGATAAAGTGAAACCATATGTTCATATCCAAGTTATCCAACTTAATTTGATAATGCTAAGAAAGACCAAAATCCAAAATCAAATTAATTATATCGGGCTTCGCATGAAAAAGAAAGGTTGCTGTTATAATTATCAATCATATCACAAGACCGGATACACCTGCCATTTATTCCCAGTCCCCACAACCACCGTCCAAAAATAAAATCTGCAAAACCAATTGGTAAGAGGAAATGAATCAATTTCTGTACCTCATTATTTGATGAAAACGACTGAAACATTTATTATGAAGTTTGATTTGAGTTTTATGTCCATAAAATTCATAAACGTAATTGATTTTTCGATTTATGAAGAAAGAAAGTCTCAATCTTAACAGTTTTTTTTTTTTTTTTCTTTCCCATTATTTGCACTGTTATTTCACCTCTGAGTTTGGATTTATAGGAAGTGCATTTTGGATGCATCAAGCTCTGAATCCAATTCCAGGACACCTCCAAAAACAAGAAGAAACCAATTATTTGTCAGTAGAAGTTGACATAAATGATAAAAATTTAAAATTTAAATGTAAAACATTCAAATTCGAACTTTTATTATTTTCTGTTGATAAATAATTTATAAGTTTGAAAAATCTGAAAGGATTCATAAATTTATTGATGAGTTAATGACTTGCCCTGATCTTAAGAGATCGAGTAAGTTCCCCTGCTCTAAACTTTTAATTATCAAAAAATTCCGAATGATAATATCATGGACATGGATGTATTTGGCAAACCAAGTAACTGTAGTAGGGAAGATGGAGAGTACCCGAGACCCATTGAGGGAAAAGACAGAAGAGCCGAAAAAGGAAGGGCTTTTGATTGGATTACCCAATTAAAACCACAACAACTTCAATTTCCATCGCAACAAAAACCTTGTGCCATACAAGGGCATGCAAGCGTTACAGAGAGAGAAGAGAAGGGGATCACAGTGAACATGAGAGAAAGAAAACAAATTCTACCCTATCAAACTCGATGCTACTAAACTAATTTAAAAGGCATTATGAATTATATCTCTTCAGCTCTCTTCGTCTCTTAGCGAATACTTCTCCATGTCTCATGATCCAAAACCTTTCTATTTCTTCAGCTTTCCGACCCGGAATCCTACCAGCAATCAAGGCCCACCTGCACAAACAATTGAAGTAAGTTAATCATTAGAACGAACAAATCAACCCACCGGCTGTACGATAAAAAAAAAATGGTTGGTTCATGTAAGAAAGCAGAAAACAAACATGTAAATTATTCTACTGCTCGAATGCGTTCATTGTCCAAGCTGAACAGGTGCCATGAAACAATGGATCCATATATACCTAGGTTGACCAATAGGCCAATAATAATTGATAACAAACATTTGCTTTTGAGAAGAAAATAATGCATGACCGCCAAAATCATCCTTAACTAAAATCAGTAACTAGACTAGAGTCCTAGAGAAAGTTTGAGAATATCAAGATTATTACCATAATTTTGTGCAGTGTGGAATTCATATAATAACAAATTTAAACAATTTTACATTTTTTAAAAATACACATGTGTTAAAGGTGTTTAATTAGGGAACAAGATTTTATATAGAAATCTTGATTGGTTTTGCTTAAATACAAAGTAAAAGTTAATGGTTTATTTGAATACAAATAAGATTAACGATTTATTATAGTACAAATTAAATATTAAAAATTTAGATGTTTTTTGTTATTTTAGCTGATATAAAATTTGCCTCTCCATAACATGTAAAGGACATGAAAGAAAGAAATATAGTGTGATGAACCAGTGAAAACAGTTTATTCTCTGTTTTGGAAATTTCAGGCACCCTTACCTGTCCCCAACGAGTTTATACATTCTATAAATGAGATCTTCTTCTTGTTCAGACATGTTTATGAACTCCCATTCAATGCTGCTCACCTCTACCATAACATTAAGAGGACAAAACAGAGTAAACCTTAACCAACCAGAAGTACAAAATGGAGATTGAAAAAAGACAAAAATTCAAAAACAAGAAAGAGGAAAGAAAAGAATCAGGGAAGGGGAATCGGGTGTTGCTCCAACAAAAAGAAAGTAAGTCAGAAGAAAAACTACCTTCAGAGCAGCAGCTGCTAGTCTTTGACTGCTTCCGGCCACATTTGTCCATTTCTTTTGCCGGCAAGAGAAAAAAAAAAAAAAGGCCGAGAAATTAAAGTGAAAAAGAAAAACCCAATATTCGAAGTAGAAATTTTGAGTGCAATGTGGTGAATGGAAGCAGAGGATTGGCAATTAATAGTTTCCTCAAAGGGGGAATTTATAATACACCATAAATTCCATGGACTTTAAATGAGCTATATAAATGGGCATCGAGAGTTGAGCTTGCAAAACCCCTCCCTTCCCCTCCCCTCCCCCCCCCCCCCCCCCCCCCCCTCCCTTGGGAACAAAAGCAACGAACGACAGGTCCTACCAAACAAACAAAATTAAAACCGGTTGACTTGTAGTTGTCCCTGTTAAAGTCATAAGCCAGGTCGAAGTTCTTCCTCGGGATAGCTCTAAGCAGCGTAAATGACAGCACTGCCCTTTAGCCCACCAATATTTTTTTATTTTTTCTGGATTATCTTTATTCTTTCATCTGCCATTGAGACTTGATTTACCCAATTAATGTATATATTCAGAGGGGACAGAATAGCAAGAAATTCCCATAGTAATTAATGACACTAATAAATAAAGCTTGTTCAACAGTGCTTCTCGCCGCTATGTAACTAGCACCTGATATCATTAGCTGCTGCTTTGATTTTAGGAATAGTTTTTCAGTTCAACTAATCATGGTTGGATGTTTAAGCTCAAACAATTACTTGTAGTTAATCAAATTGTCAGATTTGATACTTGAATGAGCTGGGATGAAAAGTGATGTGACAATTAAATCGCCGTATACCATCAGTTGTGGAGGAAAGCAAAACTTCAACAAACCAAACCAACAGAATCCAATACAATCAAAAGTGCTCTCACAGTGATGTTCTACGGCTGTTTCTTTTTTTTTTTTTGTGGCCAGTGAAAGAAAAGTTCCATGCCCGTTCTTGTTGGCTAAAACGCTACCTAGAAGTAGAGGACAGTTCCCTCAATACCCTGTGTCGAGATTTGGTACTTGGGACTTCAAATGGGACTGGAAAAAGCCTCTCCCTCCCCTCTCTGTCTCTCTCTAAATTACTTTCCTTTTTCTTTTCTTTTGGAGATCTATAATTTAGACTTCCAAAACAAAATCATATGCCTTTAGGCAAAAGTATTGTTACCTTTCAGTTTGCTCAGATTGCTTCAACATTTTGTTTCTTCTATGGTCTTCTGAAAATTTTCTTTAGCATTCAAATTTCAACCGTTAATCCTTTCTCAAATAATAATCATTGTTAACATTGCCGTTTTCAGATGCTGCAGTTTTCTTAATTTAGCAAAGACAGTTAGATCTGATAAATTTAGACATAAAATCATACAAAAAAAATATATAAATGATAGTATTTAAAATTTACAAAAATCATATACAGAGCATTATAATCTTATTTCATGCAAAAATTTGAAAAAAATGTTTTGAAAGTAAAATGGTAAATTACTGATGATTGTTAGGATGTGACAAGATTTGTACTTTGGGTCGAGTGATTGCTAGCAAAAGGTCAAGCTAAGAAAAAAAAAAAAAAAACCAAGCAGGATCTCTGTCCATTTTGATTAATTTATTAATTTTTTAACCCCCTGTGAAGGCGGTTTTGGATCGAGGATCGAAGAAGCCGTAGGAGTTTTGTATGGGTATGGACTATGGAATTGAAAGGAAACAAACTAGAAGCAGAGAATTAATAAAGGATTTTTATTCTAAATCCTGACCATCGCTAATCATTTGAACTAACTGTATATAGTGGCAAAGATTAGTCTATATCACACTCAATCACACGTGAGTGATAATACCGTATCAATTGACGTTTGCACCAAAAAAAAAAAAAAGCGAAGAGAAAATTAAAAGAACATTAGACCAAGGGAGAAACAACTCAAATTAATGTTTAAGATTAGAGCAAATTCTATAAATAAAAAAGAAAAATTGGTTATTGGGGAGTGGGAGTTGATGAAAAGTGTTGCTTTTAAGCTTTCTGCATGGCATTATCATTATTATTAAGGAGAGGCCACATGAGCTGACTAAATGGGCTGACTAAATTTATGACAAATCTATAAATTAATGAGCCAGAAAATATATTAGTTAATCTCTGTACTTTTATCTTGATTGTTGAATAACTGAAAGGATTGATGAATGTTCGGTAGAGCAATAGCAATAGAGGCAAAAAGAAAAAGGCCAAAATTACCTCTGGCCATCCATCTTATTACTTTTTTTCTTTTTGGATCCTTTTCCAGGGTCCAGCCAAAGAAAAACTCATATATTCTATTTGTTTGAATGTATATTCTATATGTTTTAGGGTTAGTTGAACAACCCGTGTAGTTGCCAGGATGAGGGTGTTTTCTTCGATGAGTTTGGACTTTGGGGGCAGCTTTTGCAAAGATCCTTAGCGCCTTTTCAAGCCTCTTTATGTGAAAGATCAACTTTTGGAGATCGAGCATGACTTTCACTTCACATTTTTGCAGGTCTTTGAGAATTCAACTTTGTCCTCTCGGACACATACATCAAACCTAGCTAACTGACAATGGCCAACTCCCTGTTTTTCTCTTTTCGGCAATACATACAAAAATGGCCATACAACCACGGTGAAGAAGGCTCAATAGTTAATTGCTTACTTGTTTAAAACTTTATACATTCTTGTGAAATTTGAAAATTGTTTGATACACGTATATGTCAATTCGAGTCAGAAGCGATCAGAAACAGCTAGCTACTTTCAAATGTCAATTGCACAAGCACAACTGTCCCAAGTAACTAAGTTCTTATACGATGAAGAACGTGAAATGGATGGTAAGATGCAAACTGATTCCTTTGAAAATGTTGAAGATAGAAGAACTATTCCAACGAACGGTTGCACACTTGCAGATCTAGACTGCTGAGGAAATATGCTAGTAATTTCTATGAAGTCAAGCATTCTCCTTTGACATTCAGTCCCGGATCACAAATATGCACACAAGACATAGGCTAAATCAGAAATACAAAAATCTTTATGCTTTTCTAGAATGAAAAATGAAATGAAACATATGTCAAACTATAACTTGGCTAATGAAATTTAAGAAAAACCCTTTATTGTTAATGTATTTGATAATTTCTCTTCTAGTTTTTACCATGTTCTTTGTTATTATTTCTTTTTTTTACAAAAGAAACTTAAATCTAAGATAAGAAAAAAGGTTACAACTATTAGAATTCAAACTTTAAGCTTATTAAATAATACTTCTTAAAGATAGCTAAATAAGCCACTTAGCTAAACTCTGAGATCATCTTTGTTCTTAATTTTCTTTCATGGTATAATTTCCTTTGTAAAAAGAAACGGATCCTTACCAATGACAGAATCAAGATGACAATAATGTCTGTGATGTGGATTCCCCATAGCGAAAATCCGGGTTTAGATTCCTAAAGGGTATTTCATCTGAGTCCCCATGGGCTTACCAAGAGACATTTAGATGAGGACTTCGCCTCTTCGGGACTCATTTTGGGCTTGGAGAAGAGTAAAACAAGAAAGGCCGGGTGTCACATTGTACAACTTGGGCAAATTTATCATAGGTGTGGGAAGATCATGTCATGTAATTTAAGCGTTGCATGGCCAAGAAATTTGCCGCGTTGAGAATCTTTTTCGTAAGTGATGATCAAAGAGGCTAACATCATAGAAAGACCTAGAATCTTTTCTAATTTTCCACGACTTAGCATACAAGGAGCACTGCGTAGTGCCTTACTTCACAAACAAGATGTTATATTAATTGTCTATATATAGTAATGTCTTCCTCCCAACTCATCATCAAGGAAGAATGGAGTAGTAATGTAGCATATATGCTATATTATTACCTCCTTCCTCTTTGTTTCTCTTCAATATTTTCCCTCCTTGTTTGTGGGGAGAGGGGATGATGAAATGAAGATGAAGAGGAGCAACACCACTAACAACGCTATATGGGGAAGATGCAAATTCCAACAGATGAAGAACCTTTTAATGAAATATGAGATGCTCGACCGTGATTCTCTTGTCCAATTTACAGCTGAAAATGGCGAGGTCAGCTAGTGAAACCCTGCAGATGCTTACCCAGTAAGGTGATGTTTAGTATATATTTTTTTATATATATACTTATTTGGTGTATGTTTTTGGGATTTTCAATGCTGAAAGTAAATGCTGAAAAAAGGTATTTCTTCTGCGATCTAGGCTACATGTATCCCAACAGGAATGGTGACCCCAGCACTATCAAGTTTGGATGCTAAAAGCTGTAGCCCGTGGGTGAATATTATCTGAAATTGAATTTGTTGGAAGTTGTGAGAAGATAATTTTCATCAATTCGTCAGATTCAGTGCAAGTAAACTTGAATTGATCTTGAAAAAAATGAAATCAGTAAAATCCAAAAATCCCTTACTGTTAAAAAAATTCATGAGAGGATAGAAGATGGAGCCACCCAAGATAGGTTGTTTGCAAGGAAAGACTTGGATTTTCTTTAAAGGGTGAACTATAATATAGTTCTTTATAAGTTTATCTGTTTATATATAACCATGTATCATTACTTTCCAGATTTTGATTCACATTATGGGTGAATGATAAATTTTTCATCTCATAAAATTTTTAATATTTTAAAGTTTGTTAACTTTGAGGTGATGACAAATAATGATTTACTGAAAATATAATAACATGTCCAATATAAACTCAAATAAATTTGGCCAGAATTTTCATCAAAGTGATAAGAAGGCCAAAAAACATCGTTTTTGGGTTTTTCTTTGGGGAAATGATGTGAAAATGGCGTTTTTTTACCATTCTTTTGATACATTCCATAAAAATTCTCAAAGGGAATTAAGAAAGGATGAGAATTACAAAATTATTATGAAGATAGATCAGAAATAAATATTTTTGCATTTAAAAAATATAGATTTTCTTTTAAATAATGTAATTACTCTTTTACATAGTAATCAATTTTTTAACAGAAAAAAAATGTTTATTTTTATATAACCTTGAGATACTCTGTAATTTCTCAAAATAAATTTTTGATATAACCTTCAGAGATGGCATGTAGTTTACCCTTTCCATGAAGGTTGCCTTGGAAGAAAAGAACAGTATCAAAAAAAATTGGAGAGAGAACTCTGTTTTCATCTTCCAAATAGTCAGAAAGATAAACATGAAAATGGGAAATCATTCAAATAAGTAAAAAATGTTTTTTTTTTTCCTGAATTCAAATAGGGAAAGAAACACTTGCAGGTTTCAACTTTCAAGAACCATTAAAGGCTAAATTAAGACTGTAGTAGTCTACACAAAGGTCAATTTTCCAAATACTACATGCAAAACGACAATTAAAATTTTCCGTTTTGAGAGAATAGTTAGATGGAATGCTAGTGTTGGTTAGAGTGCAAGATCTTACCACGGCTGCCCCACCCCACCAAGTCGACGTGCCAACTGAATATCCTTCTTCACTGAGGCAAGAAAAGGCAATAAAGTTAGTTTGTTCCTTCGGAAATGAAAATGGAAAAAATTCATTGTTAAACACGTTGCAAATGAACCTATTGAAAGAAGTACTTGACTCTTTGAAATTGATAAATCATGTTTTTCAATGAGCATTAATCATGTAGGGATATAAACAGGCAAACACAAAGAGTTTGCTAATGATTGTTTCCCAGTCCATTGTTTTAGCTTTTTCATTCCATCTTCATATTTTTTTTTACTATGATTTAATCTGGAATTCTCGTTACCCTCTATATCCAGTCTGTCTAGGTATATTCATTATGTGTCATTTGCTTAGCATATTATAATTTTCATTGATTTTTTCAGACAAAACTATGTAAATGGAATGAAAAAGCTAAAACAAGGGACTGGTAAACAATCATTTGCTTCGAGGGTAACATCAGATTATTAATTAGGCTCTACATATCTATCTTAACAAAGAGGGAGCTATATATTCAGAATAAACATTACTCACAGCACCATGTTCCTATTACCTGAGAGAGGTTCAACAGAAAAAAAGATTAATAGGCCGAGAGGTAAACTTTTAATACACCCTGTGGCATCATTCTGTGTACATGATCTTCCATCAATATAAACAACTAACTTCTATAAATCAAATACGCAATATCAAGGTATCAGATTAAGTAAAACCTGGAGCTGACTGCATAATGTTACCAGTACTTATAGCACCATGTTATTATGACTACCTTAGGTCACTACAACTATTTTAACATTAACTTAGAAAAACCCTGAAATGCAGAACAAATATGCTGAATATAAGCTACTTCAATAAAAAACAACAACAGTTTCTCCACTGTTTAACTTACTCAGTGTAACACGCTTTGCATGAATTGTACAAAGCATTGCATCTCCAAACAATTGAATCAAATAATCCGCTGCTGCTACAAATGCACCCAAAGTCATAAACTTGTTTGAAATAATAAGTAGCAAAAATATTGATACGAAAAATTGCCTTGCTATTTCTTATTGTAGAATGATATATAACAAACAAAACAAACAGGAGTTAATCACAATCATACAGCTCAAATCAGTGAATGGAAATTAGCATACTTGCACCACACTCAAATGCAAGTTCAATTTTTTGGACACTTGTGAATGCAAAATTAAGATTTGCTAAGGGTAAAATATATTTGCATGTTAATGTTGGCAATCTAACCTATGGCTACATGATAATATGGAGATTGGGAAACATGATTTGCAACAGACCAACCACATCCACAACCGTATGCCCAAAAATCAGCTTGCACATGTGCATTTGTTTTTGAAGGCTTATCGATTTTCTTTATAGTAGGAGGTTGGATAAGTTACCGGACCTCTTGAATTGCAACTAGAGCTTCAGCTTGCCAACGATTAATATCTGGTGCAAGTTGGTAGCTAATAGTTCTTACCTACAAAAATAAAAAACATATTGAACATCAGTACCTTTTGATTAAGCCTCATAAGTCATAACAATACTTAGCAGAAAGTTACTGCATAATGCAGGCACAAGGTGATTTTTTTTTTTTTTGGATGTCACAAGGGAGATGTTAATGTGTAATTGTGAAATTTCAGAGTCAAAGCTAGAAATGTAATAAGATTCCTCCTTTTTCATATTCAACCATAACTCATGCACTCATAATTAATAGAATATATTTCAATCTCAATTTAACATTAATTATTACAGTTGAATACATCGTTGCAACTATACTGCATTGCATAAGTAATGAATCGGAGACAATAAACTAGTTTAGGAACGTGCATACAATAAATTAGCACCACAGACAGAGAGAGAGAAAGAGAGAGCTCACTTCTCTGATGAAGCTGGCAGCAGGAATGAGCAGTGTCACAGTCTTTTGGTATTTCCGAATCTCTTGAAGAGACCTAGTTCCCGGTCTAAAACAATGAGGCTTCTTCGATGTTCCTTGAGCTTTAACAATAAAAAAGCAGAACATTCAATCTTGATACAGCACAAAATTTGTTACTTACAGTGGGGGGTATCAGATCTGAGAAAAACTCACAAGGTGTGGCCTGTCCAGTTTTTCTTGTCCTTCCGACAACTGCCTTCAGAAGCAAAATAAAATGCAAATCTGACCTCAGATTTATGTTACAGTTATTATGATAAAGAAGGAAAATTTAAGGGGGCAGGGGGACACAACAACAAACAAATAAAAATGGTAAATTTAGTTGTTAGGGGGTGTGGCAAGGAGGTCCTTGCTTTCGAATTTCATCCCCAATGTCATAAGATTCAGCTTACTCACTTTGTTTTATTGGATCTCATGGTCTTTTGCAAAGGTACTAGAGATTCTGTGGTGCTTTTGAATTTCATCCCCAATGTTAAGGTTTTCACAGCATCTCTGGTTTACAGCTCAACAGGTCCAAAATTGAGATTCGTTGCTGTGGTTTTTCAATTAAGGATATTTTTGTTATTCAATCTTCTACAAGATTCAAAAAAGGTACACTTCCTGTCAGGTACCTTGCGGTACCCCTTGTTTCTAGAAGGTTTAGTGCTAAAGATTGAGATCCATTATTTGAGAAAATCACAAGTAGGAAGAGTTGGGCTGTCAGAAATCTTTCTTATGCTGGTAGATTACTGTTAATCCAATCACTTCTATTTAGCATGCAAAACTTCTGGTATAGAAATTTCATTCTACCTCAGAAAGTTATCAAGAAGATTGATCAGTCGTGCAGTGCCTTTTTCTGGAAGGGGAAAGATGGTCCAGCTAGGGATGCCAAGATCAGTTGGAAGTTTATTTGTCATCCCAAATCAGGAGGCCTTGGTGTGAAAGATATTCAGGATTAGAATAAAAGCTTTCATTTGAGAAATCTTTGGGCTCTGCTAAAACAATCTGGTTCCATCTGGACTGCAAGGGTGAAAGCATATTTACTAAAGGACAGAAGCTTATGGCCAGTTTCTCCCACTCAAAGCAGCATCCAAAGCTGTAAGAAACTACTGAAGCCTAGATCTGTTGCACAAACCTTTATTAAACAGCAGAATAACAGTTTCTTGTGGTTAAATTCTGCTACTAGATATCCCACAGAAAGTACTTGGGGAGCTATCAGACACAAGATCACAAAGGTGGACTAGCAAAGATTGATTTGGTTTTAAATACCATATCCCATGGAATGCTATAATTTCATGGATGACTATCCTTGACACATTAACTACAAAATAAAGACTAAGTTCATGGAATACCATTCCAGCTGACTTTAACGCTAATTGTGTTTTCAGTGATCAAGTGGTGGAATCTAGGGAACCTTTGTTTTTAACTTGCAGCTCTACTAAACAAATATTGCAGTGAATTTTACAGCCGTGTGGGATTGAACAAGCTGTTGGAGATTGGCTGACAGCGTTCAATTGGGCTAAGCAGAAGATCAAGGGGAAGGCCTTGCTATTTGTTATTCTTACGATGGCTTGGAACACAGACATTTACTTTTTGTGGAAAGAAAGGAATGACAGACTCTTCAGGAAGACAAGTTGACGTCATCTAACATTTTACAATGCACTATTGATTCTGTTGAATTCAGACTTGGTGGGATACAAACATTGCAAATGATCACGTCAATGGGGAGCTAAGTGTAAGTTGGGGGTTGGGAGATAACATTTTTGTTTGATATTCATTTCATTTGTTTTCCTACTACTGCAGGTCATTTCCTGCTTTGCTTTGGATAATACAAATCTCAATTATCCAAAAAGAAATGGTAAATTTAGATTTGCTATCAAAACTAATAGTAAGCATGAGTGTTCAAATCTATGTCAAGTATTTCCAAATTTAGTCCCTCTCTTCATTTTTTTGCTCTACTTGGTCATCAAATAGAGGAAGAAGAAAATTATATGTATATTGAAATTTAAAGAGAAAAAAAAAAAACTAACACTAAAAAGAGAAGGATTAGAAGAAAAAATCCTGCTTGAGAGAACTAAGAGAATTTCCGTCTTCTTCTTCTTCTTTGAATTTCCCCAAGATAATGGAAAAATCAACAAGAAGCCCTAATTTTATGGCTTTTCTATCAACGAGACAAGCCTGAGAAAGAATTCAAACGAGAGAAAAAACAGAGAAAGGAAAAGTTACCGATCCGGTTTTAGGTGACGCCGGAGACGGTGAGGCCTCTGCGGCAGCTGCTTTTTGTGGATTAAATTTAAAAGAGAGAAAGAGAGAAAACTAACAGTTAGCAAAATCTTAAGTAAATTCTTATGTTTAGAGAAAGAGAGAAAATACCAGATGGCTTCCGTTTTTGTTTCTTAGCAGCGATGTGCTTGGTTCTCGGCATTGAAAGACCGGCGTACTGAGATTTGGGAGACGATTAACCTTCGTTTCGATGCTGCTTGGAGAGGGCTTCTTTAAAAATAAACACATTCAACAGTCTAAATTCTTTATCCACAATGTCAATTTTATTTGGAGTATTTTTACGTTCTTTTTCCCGCTCCATTTAACTTCCCGTTTCGGTTCCCCACCGTCCGCCTACATCTCAAGCTATCTTCGATACAACGGCTAGGTTTGCTTAAAACGACTCGTTTTGACGCTTTTCTTTTTTGGCCGTTACAGCCCCTTCCCAGCACGTGTTCAATTCTTTTTTTTTTTTTTTCTCTTCTAGTAAACAGAAAAGAGAAAAAAGAAAAAACCCTTTTATTTAAATTTAAAAAATTCAAAGGAAAAACGAATGCACTTTCGACCATCTTTGTAACCAGTCGATTAATGTTTTTACCCTCTCAAAATAGTGTATTTTGAGGTCGAATTCTTGGCAATGGTAATGGACATTCTTCTTTGGAAAAACATCAAGCACATTGTTATAGGATAAAATATTGAATCCTCAAGCACATTGAAAATCTTCAAAACATGGTAACTACAGCAATTGCAGCCTCGAGGCAATCATCATTTTCCCCATCTGATCTTCCCACAAAACTTGCATAATAGTGTATTTGTTCAAAGGATGTCTCAAATGCTAAAAGAGATACTTTCAGTTAAGCTGAATCATACAGCAACGTCTACATGATACCTAATAATTACAAAAGAGCAACAAGATGATCGAGGCAGACTACTTTATGTTTTTTTCTTGGGCGGGAGGGTCACTTTTTTCCCTCTCTTTCTAGTTTATTGATACAGATCATCGTGTTAGATAGAAAATCATTTAACATGAGGGTAGATTACACAACTCACTCGATAGCTTTAAAAATTCCTGACCAACCAGTTGATTTGCTTGAGGTAGAAACCGACGCAAAGTTTAATGAAATCATGAATCTAGGGCTGTGATGGAGTAGGAGATGTTGGAGGCTTCATATCTGGATACTGCAACCATGAAGAAAGGAAACATAACAAATATAAGCAGTTTTACATGCATAAACAGTAGGAAAAGGAAAAAAAAAAACAACCCCTCCTAACACAAGAATATACAACAGCATAAGGAGAAATGAGGAATTAATGGAGTAATAAAAGTGGCATTACAGAAGGATATGGTGAAAGTGGTCTAGGAAATCCAGAGATTCCATCTGCCTTGGATTCTGTTATGGGAACTGAATTAATTTGAGGTGGGGGTTCTGCTGCTGCTTCGACTTCGGGCTCTGGTTTTGCCTTTGTAGGTGCAGGAAGAGCCTTGGTAGTGGCAGTTGTTGGTAGAAGGGCCACTCCAATTTGCTGAGTTCACAAGGTAAAGACAAATATAGAGAAATTAGTCGTGGTTAAGAAGCAATGGTTTATTGTTGAGAAATTATGAGGGATGAAAAGAACACATTTCAGTCTACAGTAGGATACCGCAACAATATACACAGCGAAAGTTTGTTTCTATGATCGAAATAACTTTTCTTGGCAAGAAATTGATCTTGCTTACCAGATAAACAAAGCATACAAATAATAAACATGATTGATATCAAGGTTGGATACCTTTATCTCGTCAACAAATTCCTTAGGAGCCACCTTAGTGGTTAAGAATTCATCAACTTGTTGAAGAGTTTGCTTTCGGTCCTGTTACAAATAGCAGTGTAGAAAAGTCAAGTTGAACCATTATGTTTAGGCCTAAGGGTACCAGAGACTAAAATTAACTGGCATATGCCATAGTTGTCAGCAACCATATTGTTAGAACTTAAATATAACAGTTGAGCCATTTCCTATCAGATTAAGCTTTTGGGACAAGGTCACCCAATTTAATATGGTATCAAAGCTTTTAGGAAAATGCAACCCTTCTAATATTTCTATAACAAGTGTCTTGTTGCCCATTGGGCTGAGCAATGCTTCTTTAATCTTTGTTCTGCTTGCACTTTCTTTCTACACTTGAGACTCTCCTATCAGCTGAAGCTTTTAGGACATCGGTTATTCAATTTAATATCATTCAAAGTAAGCCAGAAAATACTTAATTTTCAATTAAATTCTAGAAAGAAAAAAAAACTCAAATAGAAAGTGGAGACTTACCTCTGCAAAGAGGAGTTTCTTGCTCACAAGCTGAATAACAGCAGCTGAGCCTAGAAGTTGAAGTATTGTTTCTATCTGAAGAAGATATAAGACAGCCACAATTTGAGTTGTTGGATAAAAAAATATTAAAAAAGAAAAATAATAATAAAAGCAGAAATACTAATTCCAAGGCAATAAAAGGACTCAAAAGCCTAACCTCTGAATATGCCAATAAGCCTAATCCAATAGCTGCAGCAATCCCTAGTGCAACAGAGAGGCCATCTGATCCCTCCTGCAGATTGTCACAAAAAGGTTACCATATAGAAGAAAACCAATAAGAAAGGCTGCAAAACTTTACAACAAAGACCATGGAAGAAGGGCAGCATTTTTTCTTATTTATATCTGACGCAAAAAATCTATAGAGTCTCTATGAGATTAAAATCTTAGAAGTGAATAAGCTAATAGGAAATGAAGATATGTACTCCAAAGGCCCCAGTGAATGCTTCTGTCAAATTGCTAAGGTTGACACCTTTCTTCGGTGCTATCCAGGGAAGACCACTATTCTGCAAAATTGCAATCAGTCTCAAGAGATGCAATTGCTAAATTAAAAAAAAAAAAGATTTAAAACAGAAATTACCATCCATCCTCTTGGTCCTTCTGCACCGTCTTTTACTGCATAAGCAGCTTTGAATCCATTTGCAGTGACCAATTCCGCAACCAGTTCAGAGCTCCCATCAAATCTGGCTTTCAACACAAATTTAACAACAATAGAAGATAAAGCAAATAGAAGTTCAAATTTCATCTTTCTTGCAAAACACAATGCATTTATAAAAGAGAGAGAAAATAATTTTCAGATTCTAATTAAAAATAAAATGCATGCCAGCCAGTGCTTACATATGTTTCAAGGAAACACCTCAACAATTAGAACTTAGACCATCAATTTAGAAGTCTTCAACCCTTGGAAAAAGGTGCAGTTAATTTATGGGTTAGGATTTAATTATGAGACAGACCATGGCCATATTCTATTCTGTCGCTTAAGGCCAATGAACCTCCATATACATTTCTGAATTCTTCCTCCTCAACCAAGCAAACAAATTAAAGATCTTATATTGTTTGTGCAACCGATACACAATCCATTTAATCCCAGATACAGAGATACGATCATCAACAAGAGTGGATCCTTAACTAATTGTAAATTATAGCAAGCCGGATGCATATGTCTCGTGATCTAGTAAACCAATTAGGTCAAGTTTCAGAGCTGAACCATCCTGATGAAAATGAACCAAAATTAATGAAGATGTTATAGACAATGGCAGTATATTTTAGTTTTTGAAATGCTTTTCTGTTCCTTATTATTCAACAAATTTTCCTATAGGTTAATTGATTTGGATTCAGTTAATGTGATTCATATAAAAAATCACAGGAATTCATATATATGAACAATATAAGGCATAGGGTTTCAAAATCTTACTTGTCAATAATGAACAAGGTGGTTTTTTCAGGTTCCTTAAATTTCAAAGACAGCTTTTTCAAGAACCCAGGTTTTTCTTCACCCTTAAAGGCAATTGACACCGGCTTCTTCCCAAAACCCCTTATGTCAGGACTACCAACTTGTCTAAACTCCTTGAGGGCCCTTATGTCCAGCAACTGAGCAGTGGCATCATCACCCAGCTTGGCATAAGCACTCCTTGCAGACTCAACTCCCCATGGCTTTGAATTGTTTAACAGCTGAGACAAAATTAATGGAACTGCCAAAACAACAGTACCACCAGCTACAACTGTGGGATTCTCAGTTACAAAACTGACAACACTATCAAGAATACCATTTGGATTAAAATCAAATGACGAGGAGGATCCCGTAATCTGCTGCAGTGCTTCATCGTATGATAAAGCTTTAGCAGAACTACTGGGAAGAACTGAAGACAATAGCACTATACCCCCATGCAAGCTTCTTGACAAACACTCCTGAAGAGCAGGAGGGGTTTTAATAAAAGCTGCAGAATTTGGAAGTTTCAGGGGTGAAGCAATTGAGAATGAAGCTAATTTCCTGGTTTCTGTTCTTCTCTCAAAAAGAACCGAGAGAGGTCTTAAGCTCGCTGCATTGAGGGCCTTCATGGCATAATTTTATGCAATTGATTATGCAATTGGTGGCTCTCAAAGATATGATGGAAAAGCTTGAACCATCAGAAATGGAGGGTTTGTGAGTATTTTGTTGTCCTCGTAGAATTGATTGGATGACAAGCCTTAGCTTCGGAAGGAGCAATTTGGCTGGTGTGCTTTGAATGCTGAAAGTTGCTGAGGTGGAATGAGATATGAGATCTTTGCCATTCATTGAATGACACATTGGAACTGAGATGAGAGGCCTTTGACCATGCCTGTAGGTGGGCTTTTTGGTCTGAGCGCATTTGTGTGGCTCATAATTGTCCGGAGAAACTGATAGTACATCTACAATACACTAGTACCTGTCTTTTTGTACAGAAAATACAGTGTTACCATTGCTACTATAGTTGTAGACTTGTAGTGCACATCAACTCGAGCATTTCCTTGACACAGACAGGAGGATATTACAAATTCACAATTGTAATCATCTTCAATTTACCAGAACTAGAGAAATAAAAATAAAAATGAAATCTCACAATAGTAAGTATCTGGAGTCAAAATGAAATCTCACGTTTTAAATGAGGTACAAAAATATCTTGCTCCATAAAGATTGATGTTATTGTCTGATTGGTCCATTTACGTTCAATCAATTGCCAGTGGACCCAAGGTTGAAAAAAGCCATCAATCAGCCGAATGCGCTGTGGTAGAAGATCAAAAAGATTGTTTGATATCTGTATTTTTAGCCGACGTTCACATCCTTCGGCCCAGAGAGAGAGAGAGAGCTCATATCAAAGCCCTATGATAAAAGCTAGATGGACATGCAAGAACGTTCGTTTTCAACGTTGGCATTTGCTGTGCCTGTTCAATGCCAAATCAATCCACACTTAAATATCTTAGAGGAACCAATAACAGGTGGTGCAAAATGACAAATCACAGAGACAAAGAGATCGGGAGAGATATCTACTTCTTGGAAATCTTATTTCAGCTAAGATGTTACAGGACTTCCTTGCATTTGGCATCTAACCAGAATTTCTTCCATCAGAAAAGAAATATGAATAGGGAGAAAACCCAAAATTTTATGTTACAGTGCCTAAATATATCAAATTGGAATGATTACAGAAGATCAAAAAAGTAATCCAAACCTTGCCCAACTTCCCATATTGAAATGCCAGCTCCCCAGGAACGGGCTTCCTCTAGAGCATGTAAATTGACATCAATGAGGGGTAGAACACTGCATGTCTGAAATTGTTATGATCAGAATAAACGAAAAAAATGCTCTCCACTGTTCTTTTCCCATTGCAATAGGGCCTGTGCTTCTCCAACAATGAGAGTTAATCTCTACCAATGATGGCTCCACCGCCAGAACCGGCTCAATATGGTCTGGGAGAAGCCTCTTACGTCACATACAAAACTTGTCTGTCAACAAGCCTAATTCAATATACACACTTATAACGGAAAGGGCAGTTAAGACATAAAAGACCATTTTAGCATAAGCTAAAGAGTCAAGTTTACATATTTGTGAAGATTATTACAGGTCGTAGGCATATGATTAAATGCAAGATGGTCTAACAGTGCAGACAGACACACAATTACCTTAATAAATAAGGGACAAGAAGATGTAATACCTCCGAAAGAACAAAATCATTGCCATAAAAATTGATGCCAAGAAATACTTTTGGAGCCAGTCTCTGAGCATTGTTACCAGTGAAACCAAGGAGCAGATGCATCGTAAAGCGTATCCACTTCGGAGGTGCATTTGGATTTGGATTAGTAGGAACTGAGAAGTCATAGGTCGTAAGTGAGAGGCCAATAACGTATACCAACTGCAATTGTTTCTCCCGCTTCCTGGTTGATCTCACAGAATGCAGTGCATGTCCAAGTTGTTTTATAAACTTGAACGCCTAGGAGTGGAAACAACAAAAATTTTTCAGACCTCAAAAATCAGAAAGAACTAAATTTATGTTGACCATTTCATTTTGAATTGCTAGAAGACAACAAATTGCCACAGATCAGAGAGAAAAATGCTTGATGATTGCCTGAACGTCAACGTCTAGTATCAAATAAGAAAACTGAAAATCCAACCCTTTTCATGTATTTATCTCCTTATAGTAAAGAGACTTCAATTTCAAATGTCACTAACAGCTAGCCGCAAAAGGAAACAGACAATAATCATAGTAAAGCGTAGTTCTTATAACCTTAATATAGAACAAAGTATGAGGCAGAGAGAGAGAGAGAGAGAGAGAGAGAGAGAGAGAGAGAGAGAGAGCATGATGCCTTTGAAACCAAAAAGAAAAACGATGAAAGCAATTAAAGGACTTTGAACCTAAAAAGAAAAATGATGAAAGGAATCAAAGGACTAGGAAAAATGGACACAGCTAAATCAAAAGAACCCAGGCGATAAAGAAAGACTCGGCATGCTCAAGCCGTATAATTCTACAACTGCTATGTTAAAACATGACTAAACCCCAAGGTCATAGGAACCTGAATTTTACAGTTTTAACGAAGAGGAAACATCAATTAAGGTGATGATTACCATATTCCTCAAGTCTGGATCATGCAAGATACCATATGCAGCCCATCTTGACCAAGACTCTAGCAGAATACCGACATATTCCATTTCTCTATTCATTGAGGAAAGAATCCACACAACAAATAACATTAGAAAACCTCAGCATTTTGTTAGGAAGTGCAGGTAAAAATTGTTTTCTGTAACATATTATACTAACAAAAGACTATAGAATAAGAAAAAGAGGCTTACTTGCACTCATTTACTAAGAGATCAATAGCTTTATCCCTCTGTTTCTTCTTTCTAAGCAGCTCCAAAGGAAATACTTTCAGAACTACCCTAGGTAATACCAATATAAATCAAAATAATTTTTGTTATGATAATGGAAAATAGTATTCTAGCTGGCATGCAAATTATCAAAAAAAGAAAAAAGACAAACAAAAAAACTTATATTACCAAAGCATCTCCTCTCGTTCTAAGCTCGGACATCCATCCTTTATCAGCATTATGTCTCCCCTCCAGAATCAAGCTGCTTCCATGGCTAGTAACAATTATTTTTTCTTTTTAGAAATTTTAAACAAGTTTAAAACAAATGCTAACTTCGAATTTGTTAATTCAAAGTTGGATATATCTTTTCAAATCATACCAAACAGGTGATAAGTGAGAAAATTTAGAATTAAACCTCTTTGCCATTTCATAGCCCCTCAAATTCCCGCAAAACTTTTACTTCAAATAAATCAAGAATTTCATTTCCACCAACATTTAAAAAAAGAAAAGAAAAATGAAAAACACCAGTGAGATGATCTTACCATGGGGTAATATAAGCCAATACAGGGAAATCATAATGCCGTTGCGAAACATTTTCTGCAGAGAGGATCTCTTGGTAACTAATGTCGGTTTTGATGAGTTTCCGTTCCGACTCGCTCTCTGCTCCAATCTTGATTCGGCTCCCGCCTTCTGGCCATTTCTCTCGTGCTCTCTTATCCAGTCACAGCCAAGCCAATACTGTTAGAAAATCAACACATACATGTAGTAGCCATACACAAAATAGAAAGCTAAAATAAATTTGTTTCATCCCAATCCAAAATAGCTACTGCAAACCAAATCCACTAACAAATAAATCTTTACAACTAAGACTTTTGAAATGAGAACACAATTACACTCTTTTAATAGCCTATTCACTTAATTATTCTATTAGTGTTTAATTATATGGGTTTATCAAATCAAAACCAAGCTAAAACCCTTTATACTTTTATAAACTCCTGATGTGAGATATAAAACAAATTCAAACTCTTATAATTTCACTTAACTTTCGATATGAGATTATAAGATTTAAAGCAAATCCTAACAAATCCTCTATTGATTTGAATTTTTAAATACTTCAATGATATCTGCAAAACTGACACAGTTACCTTTTTTCTTTTCTTTCATAATAGGAATCTTAATAACTGAGCCTCCATAGAGCATGTATAAGTAATTCTTGACCTTATTATCTTGTAAAATCACACTACCATTTTTGTACAATTTCAACTAATCATTACTGCTATAGTATGTGTATCTCCGAGAAGCTAACTCATCTAAAGTAATCAAATTGTAGTTACAATCCGGTACATACCTTATATGATGAAACATCTTAACACCATTATGAGATCTAAGGCGAATAATCCCAATACCTTGAATCTACACCTTTTCATTGGTGACAATCACAATATCGCCATACTTCTCATTCTTTTTCAACTCCACAAAACATACTTCTCATTCTCTTCTAACTCAACAAAACAACTCATATTATTGCAGACATGGACTATATCAGTTGAATCTAAAACCCAATCTTTATTACTTTTCAAAGTCTGAGTCTCATCCATAGTCATCAAAACAACATCATCATCAGACATAACAATAATAATGTCTCTCTTTCCATCATTCGATTTTTTCTCATCATCTTTTTTTTTAAAAGCAGTTATATCTCTTCTCAACTTCTTACAGCACATTTGAATATATCCCTTTTTATCACAATAATAACATTCTATGTCACCGTAATTTGTCTCTTGACTTGGATCTCTCTCTTGATCCATAAACCCTTCTTTGAGTATTCCCTAATCAAAACTCTCTACAGTTAATATACTCCTGATGAGTTTTGTGTTCCCATAAACTTTTTATTCTCACGCAATAGGACAGTCACATCATCCAACTTTAAAGTAGACCTACCTACCAACAAAGTCTGAACTAAAGATTTATAAGATTTGGGCAAAAATGATAGCAAAATTAAAGCCTCTCTTCATCTTCTAACTCATCAATAGAAATCGTCAACAATTAAGAAACTAATCTATTAAACTCATTCAAGTGATTATGAAGACTCATACTTTCTTTTATCTTTAGATAATACAAATCCATCTTTAAACATAATCTATTAATCAATGACTTCGATGCATAAATAATCTTAAACTTGTCTTATAAACTCTTTAAAGTACTTTAAGTCAATATACTGTATTTTATCTTGGAAGCTAGCGTCAATCTAATAATACTAATAGCTTTTTTTTAATTTTATTCTAATTACTGTCAGACATTCCTTCAGGCTTATTACTCTCTAATACCTGATTCAACCCTTATTATACTAATAAATCTTGAATTGTACTTTGTCATAACATAAAATTATTTTTGTATCAAATAACAAAATCTCAAACTTAGGTATAGATACACTAGACATATTTTTCAAATATCTTGAAATGCTTGCTTCACGATCTCTTGGGCCTACATCTTCTTCCTATGAATCTTGCTCTAATATTATTTATTAAGGATTACCACAGTTCTCATACCATTTATTAGGAATCTCGCTCTAATACTA